TATTTCCAAAATCCTGTGCCGTTTGCCTCTTCAAGTAAAAATTCCGCCGCGATTCAGCCTCGATCCGCAGCAGGCAGTTCGCCAAGAGGACCAAGTAAATCCACAGGCAAAAGGGAACACGATTAACAAGCGTCATAATTTAAAGATTAAAGGGGCATCTGCGGCAGACTCGACTTTATATCACATACAAAACACGCAACGCAATCGACATAACTTTAACAACGCAACCATAATCTCATCCCGAGGGTACTCACAATCCAACACGAATCTCGAGAGCTTTACTACTGTGAGACGACATGCCCTGGGCGCAGCCATACTTCACTGTTGCCTCCATCCACATTTGGTAGTGAAGCATAAGAAGGGGTCCACCGCAATACGTGTACTGTACTGTACTACACCGATCTGCTTCCAACAATGAGGCTTCTTTCGCGGAAAAATACTGTAGTACTGTACTGTGCTCGCTTATTAAATTGGTGCTCTCACTACAGAGTAGCCTTCTGTTAAGGCTGGGAGATTGAACAAATGAAACGTTACAGTTTTGACTCCGCTCGTGAACTACTACAGTAATTTCAAATATCCTTTGTAAAATACAGTACTGTACATGCGTCGAAGTCACTTCATACACAGTACTGTATTTTCTGTACACACGTACCATTTTAATTCAAGTTGGTGTAAGTCATGCATTTTTCTACAGCAATCCTCTTTTCTTCACCAACTTCCCTCCTCATAATTGGGAAGAAAAAAGAGCATGTCACGCACTGTTATCCAGTTTTTTTTTTTCAAAAACAACAAAAAAAATACGGTGGTTGAGAAAATGTTCTTCGATCATCTTCGCAACGAACATAGGAGTGCGTCTTAAAGCACAGGATCAGTCCATATGCTGTACACGCGTATATGACCCGACTTTCTTGACGGGATTTGCGTGCCGTATCCAACGGGTGAGTAAAATTGCCAAGAGCAGTTTAATCTTGCATTTAAAAGAAACGTTGAGACGAATCGGAATATTCAACTAACCGTAGACAGCTATGATGATGCACACATCCCCAACGAGAATACAGAATCAGATCGCAGGAGATCTCCATCAGAATAACGCACGACGTTCACCGGCAACATCGACGAGTTCAAAATCAAAAAGAGAACCCTCTGCAAAATCATCAGAGTTTGGCAATAGGGACGACTCAAACCAAAAGAACGTGAACTAAAAGAAACCACACGGCTTCCAGAACATAATAGTTGCGGTTTTTCTTCAAAGCTCAAGCAATTCACACATAGTTCAAGGAACACCGGGATTGAGCAATTCTTGCACTCGATCCAGTCACTCAGAAGTTCAATGGCACGAATATACACATACTGCACAGTATAAAATAACTTAGCAACTATCCATTGCAGCTTTCTTATTTAGCAGAAGAAGGGGTCATAATCGGATTACGAAGCTCAAGAAAGCTTTGCGAGAATAAAAAAGAACTGCATCATGATCAAGAAGGGATTCTCGAAAAAATTGATCTCGTAATTAACAAATAAATATAAATCGATGTGATTCCCAAGAGACGAGCACAACTCAGTCAACCTAAATGATCTAGATATTTTAGATTATTTACCTTAATGATTCAGATACTGTACTTCATAAGATTATTTAAACTTAATAACGGTACCACATCGAATTTCCCCGTCCTGAATGCTGTACTGTATATACTTCATACAGACGTCACACAAAGGGAAGATGAATACTCGAACTAAAGCATGCATAAGATGCGTCAAAGTCAATTCAGTCGCTGGCATTAATGCGTAATTCGTAAAAATAAAACAAGAATATAAAATTATAAAGCACCCTTCAGAATTTATGTACCAAGCGATAGGAAGCAATGCCCAACGTAAATGATCCACCAAAAGAAGATCACTAATTACAATAGTAATTTCGTATCATGAAATGTCTCAGGGAAACCTCACTGGTCTTTTCAGGAGAATAAGTTTTCAACCGCGATTGCTGGCAATCAGCTCCAGTATTTCGATTGCGCGAATTTATCGAAAACCCTTTTCGCAAATCCTTTGCAATTTTTATCGTTATCTCCGACGTCATACCGTCGATTTAGCTCATCATTCTCATACAACCAATCAACCAAGCTCTTCATGGTCATCCTGCCAGTGTCAGATTCGATCAACCAATTTCCATTTCTCTCCTTCCTACGATATTTTCTCTTGACGTAATCAAACTGCTTACTTCGCTGAATAGTGATACCTTCTCCGTTCTTCTCCAAGGACCACCACCACTGGTTCGTTTCGAGCACCACGTAGGAGTGGTACATGAGAAAAGCCGTTAACTGCCAGGCGAATAGTTTTTCTCCATAGATTCGAATCTCCCTGATTTCCTCGTCGCAGTCGATGAGATTATACATGAAAGAGTTCGACTCTTGGATCTTTGCGCAGTTTTGGATTACTTTTACAGTGGAACTTTTCAAATTTTTGTTGGGGGTTGATTCCGCTTTTGTGCGGACCCCTGAACACCGGCTGTTGACGAGTCGGCCTCCCAGTTGACCACAGGAGGAAGTCGCAGGTAAGAAGTAGACGGATATGCGGCTCACCGCACAGGATCCCCAGATGTAGGTGCTACAGATGAGTTGCGGGAATTAACCCGGACGCCTATCTGCCACGACGACTACTAAATTGAGACGATTCTAATTGCGGGTGATCAACAACAAGAAGCTTCCCAAAACTAACTTCTTATGTATTACAGATCACAACCACACAGTCAGACACTCAACTGGATCCCGCAAGGGAGTTTTCAAAAATAACCGATTCACGGCTCTGTCTAAAAACGTGAAACATACATGAACATTTCAGACACAGCCAAACAGAGTAACACATTCAATGCATTCAAATATTTCACTTGAGTCGAGCTGCCCAGGCAAGGCATTCAGAATACCCAAAATATCAAGACAAATCGGGAGATCCTTACTCCACCAAATTCGAATGAAGAATGACCTAAACTTTCCAAAGGCAATTCGCAGCTCGTAGCTTCGTCCTTCATACAACAATTGACGGAAGCTGCTTCAAAAGAAAAGTACACCCTCAAGGACTGGGAACCTCCACCGCATTCCATTCCCAGGCTACCAGAAATAAATCCCGATTTGCTACGCGGATTCAGGATGCGCGATTATAATCCCATGGCTCAGAATTTGCGCGCCATTCGAGATTCGCACAAGCAAAAATAGAGGGCGACGTGAGTAGTAAACCCTTCTAATTTATCCTCTATATATTTTGATTTCAACATAAAATCCGCGGACATCAAATCAAACAAAATAAGATACAGTACATCAACTAACCTTTGTTAATATTCGACAAATAACTGATGTACGAACAAATGGCAGCGAAATAAATTTATACAGTGGCAGCAATATAAAATGAAATAAATTCAAGCTTGCCTAGTATTTTGCGCATCCTTTCAACAATTTCAAATAAGCATTTCCATATAAACATTTTGAATTGGGCAATTTTAGTTTTCAGGTCAGGAGGGATATCACTGGTAACCCCTTTGTAATTCGAATATCTAGGGCCAGAACTAGCGACGATTGTCAAGTCCCTTCCATTCAGGGCACTTTACCAGGCATTTTGCAATACCTGCCTCTTTGCAGAGGAGTCTGACCTATCGTCTGGCCTCGCTAGATTGTCAGAAGCAGGGGCTGCATTGTAAAACAACACAGGACTTTCTTCCAACATTAATTTACTGGGGCACAAAGAGAGGGATCCTCCCAACCCTAGCCTCAATTCCTTACATATACAGTTGGTCCCGCAGCTCTGAATCTGACAAGGAATAAGTTGGCCCCTGGCCCTTGTCACTCTCTGGATCAAAATACACCTTTCCTTCCCAGTCACCGCCTTTCTTGCGCTTCGATTCGCTCTGGCCCATGATTCAAAGCTCAAGTAATTACCTATCAAATAAAAAATCATTGAATGCGAGATTCATCCATTCATACGTCGAGAACGTGATTGAGACAAATAGAAGCCGGAGAAAATCCCCTGGACAAAAATTAAAAGGGAAGATATCTCCCTCTCTCTTTAAAAAAAAATGCACAGAATGACTGATTCTTTCACTCGATCAAATATTTTCTCTCGTCGAAAAACTTAATTTTTTTTCAAGGTACATTACGACTCATCACGCACACTGCGTAATGAATTTTCAAACTGTACCACGTCGTGTACAGTATACTGTAGGCTTGCCTTGGCGTTTTCAACTCGTGATTGGTTGTATGTTTATAATACATCGATCACTGCTAAATCGAACCTTGGAAGTTTCAATCAACTCGCGGAAAAAAAATCTAGATTTGTTACGACGAACATTCAATTAAAAACTTGGGTAATGTGCGCTCTTCACATCGGGATTCTTTTCCTAGGTTACCTCGCGGGTATGAATACACAAGATTAATCAACTGCAGTTCTTCTCGCAAACTAGAAGCACAACGTAACTCAAATTGCTCGTGAATCACACACGGAAATCAAGCTTAATTTCAAAAGAAATCCAACATTGACGTGGAAATAAAAGCATCGTAACAAACCTTCCAAAGCTATTGCGCAGTCATCCGGAAGTCAAAAGGCAATGTTATCACATATAGGAGCACCACGTCCACCGGTACTGGAGATTCTCCGACGAAGAAAAAAAAATGCTCTGCAACATCAACGAATTTCGAACTAAATGTCGAGAATTTGTTCTCATCATCGTTTCACATGGAAATCACGTCGAATACAGAACTGCAATCCTCATGAGTGCGGCCCATACCTCGAATGTAAGCCGGAATAGTGTTTTTGAGCACCGTTTTGGGGGGAAAATATATTTGCTTCAGTCGATGATGGGCGTTATCGTTAAAAAAAATCAAAAATATTGCATTAAGAATTTCAAGAAGAAAAAATCTCAACGCTCCGCTTGAATTCGTCCCCCGTCACAAAATGGTGAGATGCTTCTGGGTAGGGATCCGGAAAAAACCCTTTCCTCTGCATCTCCTTTTGCCGCACACACTTCCACGTCACGCACAAGACCACGTATCCCACGCTGACAGGAACTGAAACAAGGACACACGAACATACCAACGCCTAAGAAATGCAAGCGGCGTGAGGATCGACGGACAGGTGCATTGATGATTACACATAGCGAAAATAAACCAGGGTTCACAGCACGTTGAACCCAGAACCGAGCGTGCCTTTCTGGGAGGCAACCAACACGGAAACCTGAATCTCAAGTTTCTTTCCGAAAAACTTGCCGAAAGGGGCATGGAGGAGGTAATCAATAACAAAATGTTTATTGCTAGCTGAAGCAGGTTTCAACCCGATTTTCAGCGTTTCTTCGTTCGCACAAAAAAATTATTCCTTCAAAAACCGAAGAACTCTTACAATCATTTAAGCAATAAAATGATTCGGAAAGTCCGTTTGTTCTTCAGCCAAAAAATGTCCTCAAAAGATTTGTATTAATGCAAAACATCCATGAATTAATGATAATTCATGAATTTCGAAGGGATACTTTTTTCCCCCAAATTATTATCGATGGATACCTTTCCACCGAGTGCTTTTCTTTTGACACGGATTTTAGGCCAAATTTTTGTATATCTTATGCAGTATTTATGTTTATGTATAATTTTCATGTATACGTGTATACCAAGGAAAATCTTTCTACTTCTCGTTTCTTTTTCGTCGATGAAGAATTGAGAAGGAAACAAATGAACGCAACAAAGGGAGCATTTTTACTCACTCCCGGACGAAAACTGGAATTTGCAGAAAACACAATCCGGCGCCAAATGAGATTAATCACATAAACTCGTCAGAATCATTTCCGTCATCCCGGTTCGTCGTCATGTTTTCGGATTTCATCAATGTCGAGTAACTCCTGAAAAAAATGATCGGGATAGAATAGCCTGAAATTCTCGCCAGAAAAAAAAAGAAAACGTGCAAGTACCTCAGTTCAGCTTGCTGCATTTTCTCCTTTTCCATTTCCTTCTCCTGCTCTTTTTGCTTCCGCAGCCCTTCTTTCCGCTCTTCCCTTTCCTTCCGATCGCGCTCTTCTCTCAGCGCTTGCAGATCTACTTTTCGTTCGACTTTAGTCTTATTTAGACGGTTCACAATCTCGTTTATCCGCTTGGCAACTCGGACTTTCTTGACCTTCATTCACACGGCCAAACGAACAAACCATTTCACTGGATCAACTTCGATCGGGTTGCACATGATTAAAGTTGAAGGATACTAAGACCCACCGCTTTCTCGCTCCTGAAAGCCACCTGGCCAACTTCCATGCTCTTGGTTTTCTTCAAGTTCGACCACATCGTGTAAACTATGTCGAGATCGTTGGTTTTGTTGCCCTGGATGCTGTTGGCTTTCACCAATTGGCAAGCATCTTGGATAACAGCTTCCGGAATATCTTCCAGCGTTTCATTTGGCTTCAGTTCCAAGTACACGTGGGCAGACGAGAGTTTATCAACATGGAACCAAACGTGCTCTGGCCATCCCCACTTGATCAAATCTTCATCTGTTGATTTCATAAAATTGAGAAGCATATCTAAAGTCAAGAAATGTGTTTCAGCGCTAACTCTCGATGGGTGGAAAAAATCTTCAACGCAGTGGCTTCAATGGTTCAGAAGACACCACTTCTCCAAAAAAAAAGGGGGTACAATTTTCTTCAGGTCCAACCTGTGTTCCTTAAAAATTAAAGTACCAACAATACGTTCGAGGTAATGTACTAATTAACTAATATTTTCGAGAACTCGCTTCAGATGAATCCAAAGACGCACTCTCATATTTGTCGAGGCCCATGAAAAGAGTGACGGGTGGAGAAACCACTGTAAAATGAAAATGCGAACATTAAACAAAGCGAAATTGCACACGTTATCCTTTCCTCACCGTTGGTCGTGAAATAAAATACCATTGTCAGCTACCACGCACGCTCATGAGAAATCTGCAAAATAAAAAAGCATCCTTTAATAATTAAAATACGCAGTAAACTGAAAAATCGACAAACTCGATAGAAGAACAAGTTTTTTTCTTCTTTTGACTAGACATCGTGCTAATATTTATTGACTATCTTCACAAACATTGAGATCACTTCGAGATCAGAGTTTTTCATGTGAATCACTTCCATCGGACGGCTTAATGAAAATTGGTTCAGCTAAAAAAATACCGGATTAAAATATTTCTGAGTAAAAACTCGGAGATATCGAACGAAGGATGATGACACAGGTAATCAAAGTATCAGATTAAACGAGAGATGTCAAATTCTCGAAAGCAAAATCAGTTTCGCGTCCAAAAATGTCCCTGAAGAAAAATAAAATAAAAATCGCAGGACTTAGTCGTAGCCACCACCAATGACGTCGAAATTTTGGTTCGTCTTTTTAAATTCCACCAACTGCATGAAAATATACTCCAAAATGTGCTTCGCGTCCCGCGATTTCAAAGGTAACTTGGCTGTAATACCAAGAATGTCTCCACATTCCCTGACGTAATATTCCAGATCTTCTTCAGAGCATTTGTTAGTTATTTGTGCGAGGCGTGCCTTTTCCGAGCTGAACGCTTCGTCCAAGTCGTACAATTCCAATGGCGGATTCGGCAATTCACGGAACGACGGCGGAAAAATCTGAAAATGCATTTGAAAACACCAAGATATCACTCAAATTCTTTGAAATTTGGCTGAATTTTTTTTTCAACATCAAAAAAAAAGGGGGGGGGGGATGTTGAATTTCTCACCGCCGGCTGAAGTGGCGGCAATGGCATTTCAAACTGCGGGGTAATGAGACGCAGTGGCTCATGCTTGACTCCCAGGGTTTCAAACGCTTTTAGTGACTTCGGCAACACTTTCATATCCAGAGAGAAATTCTGGTTGTCGAACAAACGCATGAAATCCGTTGGAATATCGTCTGACTCTTGTAAACAGGTTCTCAGTTTCTCCGCCAATTTATGGGTATCAGGTATTTGGTTATAGTCCGAAATCTGAAAAATAAGCAATGCAATAAATTATTCGAAAAATGCAATTTTAAATTTTTCACGGAACAGCGCATTTTCGGATTCTCAGGAATAAAGACGAAGACCGTAACGGGAAATTTACCTCGGGTTCTTCTGCGTCAGTGTTCAAAAAATTGATCTCTTCAGACGTCAGGAAAGTGATCAACAAATCCCTGATTTTCGCGTTATCTTCCTTCTCAACGTATGCATCTGTGAAAACGGCGGTCGAGCCGACGACGGCTATTTTTCCTCCGCCGGGCTTCTTGCTCTGGTAGATGGCGCACACGGGTCGATTCAAAGGGAAAGAAACACTTCCAGTCGACAGAATAGGGATAGCTGGAGAGATGACGTTGAGAGTGGCTCCAAAAGGATACACGAAACTCATGCACTGGTTGTCGAATTCGTCGTCATGAATGATTACAGGGCCCATGTCCTTTCCAGCTGCCTGGGCGACGGCTCTGTTGACGACCCCGTTCGCAATCAAGCATTCCTTCGGGTGATGGTACTTGTGGAAATGCGTCCGAACAACAGCATCTGCGATTGAAACAAAATTTCTACAGTCGAACCTTGATAACTCAAACCTGCGTAAGTCAAATATCTCCATGTATCGCATTTTTTTCAGAGGCCATGCCAGAAATCTTGTAGAAGCAACGCATTAAAAAACCTACCAAACTCAAAAACTTTTCCTCTGAAGCCTTCAGAACTTTTGGAAGACTTTTGGCTATTATTTTACTGACAAAGGAAAGAGAAAATCAATAAAAATGTAACTTGATGCATTTTGAAAGGAAGTGAAGGACTAATTGGGCAAATAACCATTGCCTCGAAGTTCAGCATCCTGTCAACTTATTCAAGAAACAATTTAAGGCCCAGAATATCACTAATTATAATTTCCTGTAATTCCTCTTTTTTTTCCCCAAGCAAAATGCTTGTTTCCCCGATTTAAATTTTTGCTGGTCCATTGGAGTTATACAAGAGAGGTTCAACTGCATCATGTGATTTCAACAAAAAAATGAGAATGATCTGTGGCATATGCTCACCGCTGTTCACTGAAATCCCGTACTCTTCCAGAAAAAAATTAATGTTCGTCTTCAATTTCTTCTCTCCTCCTTCGCAGACTGTAATCAGCAAACTCCCGCCATTTTCCACGTACTGCTTCAAAGCAGAAAACTCCGTCTCTGTGTATTTATCCTGTGGCCCCGGGATGACGAAAACTGCAGCATGCGACAGAGCTTCCGCAGTCAAGAAATCTTGAAAACTGGCGATTGAACTCAGTTTAATTTCACTCGTGACGCTCAAAGTAAATAATAATTTACCTCACAAGTCGCCAGCGATTTTTCCATTTCCGCTGAAAGCTTTTGAACCCTTCGTTCAACTGAACGAGCTCATTTTTGGTTGCGCTGAACAGAATCGATTTCGCTTTGTCGTTATCGTAGACATCCTAAAATGAAAACAGATGACGATCTGGAATTTTGAAAAATATTTGTCAAAATACCTTTTCCGTAGGAGGCATGACTGCTGTTGACACCAAGCGCACACACAAAAAATCCTGAAAATACACAATATGTTAAAATTACTTTAAAAAAAACTAAAAATGTCAATAATGAATTCAGAATCGGCGAGGAATAAAGGGAAAACAGGACGTCGTCATCAAATACAAAACGTACGAACACTTTCAACGAAAGAAGACATGAAAATATTAGAAAAAATCACTTCGGAACACTGGGATATCGAGTCACTGTTCTCGAAAATCCGAAAGCTTCGATGAGCGATCTTCCCTGGACCTTGATTTCTTTTTTCGGGACAGGCAAAGTTCTTCGTCGAACGGACAAAACAGGAGATTTCGCGATGATTTTTTCGTTCCCACTCCGTCGAAATGAAACAATCGGAGACCCACTCGGCACAAACTTGCTCGGAGACTCTCCTTCGTTCGAATAGGGAGCTTTTTCTGAATTGCCAGAAACTTCCGGCAGACGAGAAAAGGTTACATCACGTGTAGATGATTCAAGTTCAGCTGAGGCAATTTTGTTTGTTGCTTTACTCGTAGAAGGACCGAGAATGAAATCCAATGCTCCGATTCTCCCTCCAGGGGCTGATTTGGATTTGCTGGGGGTCAACAGATTTTCCACTGTTTCTGCTAGTTTAACTTTATCTGTCCATTGGGTTCCCGATGCCTCAAAATCACCATCAGTGGATTTCCTCATCGTTGAAAAGCTCGAAACAGAGTTTCTTCCAGTGGAAAACGGATTTCGAACACCTGGGCTAGCCGGAACCACTTCTGGAGAATCACAATTCGGAGTTGCAGTGGAGAGTTCTGCAGACTTTGTAGAAACATTTCCGGGACTTTGAATGGATGCAAGAGCGAATGGATTCCGTCGTGGGGAGATTCCAGCTACTGATTTTTGCTCTGGAGTTTCCGGGTCCAGTTTAACCTTTTTCGGACTCGGTTCAGACGAATTTGAAAAATATCCACTGACAACCTAAATGAAATAAATCATAATCAAAGTCACAGGTGAGGTCAGATAAAAAATACAAAACATATTAAATGCTCAATTTTTTAACCAACAAAAAACATAATACAGTACTGTACATATTGAATCCTACAAGCAATACTCAATTCGAGATCTCTTATTTATTCAAAGAAATGAGCGGTTTTATGGAAACTTTACTTTTATGGAAACTTGAAAGGTCATCGATCTCATAAATTGGGTTTATCCGTCTTCCAACAAAGGTAATTTAAAGATCTCCCGTCAAAGTCAACAATTCAATTTTAAATACAGTACAATGAAATCAGCTCACCTTCTCGCCTTGAAATTGCATATCAGTACGCCGAAAACGGGCGTTATATGAAATCCTTTCCAGAGCACTGAAAGCCGCCAGGGGGGATTTACTTTTCACAGCCTTCCCACTTTCTTCAACTTCGGATTTTCCCCAAACTTCGATGCCTGAATCATTTCCCTCCGAATTCAACGACGGCTTTCTCGTCAGCCATCGTTTCAGCTCATCTTCTTCAGCACTCGCAGCAGGTGAAACTCGTTTACGGGCAAAGAACGTTTTTAGCGTCAGTTGTTTGGACTCTTGCACAGGGATCGTTCGTGAAGCGAGACAAACGTTGGGTTTCGGCGCGGATTTCCGCTCCACAACAACCGGTTTAACGTCACCCCGGAAACGCCACCAAGTTCCTGTATCGATGTTGGCAACGACGTGATCCGTCTTCAGATCGTAATTTCCACACGCAGTCTGAAGGGCTTTCTTCTCATCCAACCAGTCTCCAGCGTAGGGAAAATCCACGTAGCATTTGCCATCAGGGTAATCCATTAGTGGACGCAATTTTCGAGTCTCCGGGTCGAACACAAGCTGGTAAAGGAATGTGTTCTCTGCTTCTTGGAATTTCTCGGTATAATCCTGTAAAATAGACACGGTCATCAGTTTTCTGACATTCGGGATACACGAAAACAGGATTTGCTTTATCACTGCTATAGGAAACAACAACAAAAAGCCATCAAAACCGTCCTGAGATATTTCCAGTACATCACTGCATGCTTATCATACTCAAGAATTTTTTTTACTTCTGTCGTTCCACCTGCAAATTAAATTGGACCAGAAAAATGATTATGTCAACGATGCGTTCTCCATAATTCCTTTTTTCATAGCATTCACTGTATACAGTTTTTACTTTTTCAAAACGTCGGGAATGATTTTAGCAGCAGCATATAGAATTAAGGCAATTATCGAAACTGTTTTTCACACTAAATTCGATTCTAAAATAAAAACACGACATAGACGAACCTGCAAATCAGGCACGGAAATTTTGACCACCGTCAAAACTTGCTTCATTTGCGACCAAACGTCAGAAGAAGCCATTGATCGAGAAAAAATATTGAAGGCCTTTTTGATCCCGATCCCACGCAAGGATTCCAAATAGTCACAGCCAGAAAGAATGCACATGCGTCGAAACTTCTCAAACGTGAAATTATTCGCACGTTGCTTGAAGCACGCCGGAAGCCGGGAACGTTCGTACAGAAGGCCCATGCCCGCGGCGTCGCACTTGAAAAACACCCTTTCACACCCAAAAACGACGAGATCCGAGTCTTCGGTAAGAACCACATCCGCGAGCCCAGCGGAAATGAGAAAAGCGAGTTGAGCATCTGCTTCGTACGGCGCAACGACGTAACGCAATTTCATGCCACGAACAGCGTCTATAACTTTCTGCGCCATTTCCGACGTGACGTCCGCGGCCCTCAGGGCAAACTTCCGGGCATCGGCCGCGTTTCCTGCTCGCAAGCAATCCGCTGCTCGCTTCCTCGCTTCATTCCGATCTCCGCGACGTTTCTTTTCCGTTTCTGCCTTTGAAGGAAGGTGTCGGCCGTCAAAAACTGCTATGGGATCCACGCCGAAATTCTTCAACATCGTCAAGTACCGGACGCAGTATCGAACATACATGTCTGTGGGACGACCCAGGATGAGGTCTTCAGCACAGGCAGTGATGCCCTTGTGAATCCAGCAATACATGTCCACTGCAACAGAACGACCCGCAAACGACTTGATGTGATCTTGAGTGCAGGCTGGTTGAAGAAACTCCAGTAAGTTTTTGATTCCCATCGCGATCACCAGGGGTACAAACTAAAATTAACTAAACAAAAAAGCTCCCAATTCGGATACGCGGTACACCTTCGAAAATAATGAAAACCATTTCAGAATGATTCACTAACACCAAGAAGGATTTCGCAGCATTCGATAAAAACAATTCTGCTTTCTGTTATGTCGCACTCAAGGAAGAGGGAAAAAATCAACAGATCACTGCAATCGGAATCCAATTGTGAATGGAAGTTTCCTAAATGAAGAAAAGCTCAGATTCCTTCTTTTTCCACGAAGCCTTCCAAGGCTCGTCGACAGTGTTTCAAGCATTCATAAAACCCAGCATCACCGGAATCCTCCAGAAAAATAAAATAATGTCATGATTGATCATTAACACGACGGATTTGCGTTCTTACGTAGTAGGGATCTCGCACGATTCTTTTCGCTTCGGGGTCGTACTCTCCCAGGAGTTTCATGACGCCTTTGAAATTTTTCGGACACTCAGATGCAATGTCGTCCATATTGCTGTCGTCCATTCCGAAGATGTAGTAAAAATCCTCGAAATCTTCTTTCCTGAGCTGGAAAATCAACCAAAAACGAAGCGAACGTTCTTTTACACATACCGCAAAATAAAGAAGCTGTGGTTCTTCTTTATGCCCATAAAAATCTAAAAAAATGCACGTCGAGAAAAAATAATTCAGATTCAATTTTCCACTCACCAGTCTCGCACGATGCGTATCATCGAGACCAGCTTCACTCAGCACCTTTATTGCCCTTCGATCGGATCTTTTGCCGATGTGCCACGGTCCTGTGGCAGCGCTGTCGATTTTCCACTCATTCAAAACTCCCTTTTTCTCCAGAATATCTTTGAACACACTTTCGGCAATCGGAGACCGACAGATATTACCTGTAAAAAAAAAGCGTTCACTTTAAAAAAAAACTGTACTGTAATAATCCCACACGAAGACTCTCGACAACCAAACTCACCGAGGCATACGAAAAGAGCTGACTTGCGTTCCATTGTTCTAAAAAATCAACGGACTCGAGAACGTCAACGAAGAAAAATTCAGATCAATGAAGAAAATAGCAAAATTTGCAATCATGGATATGGGCAGAAAAGTAACAAAATGTAATGCCAGATCGCGGATGCGCAAAAAATCAAAATCCATATTCGGGCATATTGTTGAGCAGAATACCACGGGCCCGAGAGCGAATGAAGCAAAAATGACGAGGAACTTTCTTTGAATGCTCATAATTACGACATATCGCGGTTTTTTCTTGACGAATCGAATGCAAAATACAAGCAGTTGAACGTAAATAAAAAATCAAGACTCGTATTCCCTCGTGGTAAAATAGGGGATCTGTTGAAAAAGTAGCTTATGCATTGAAAATTGGATAGAAAAAACTATCGCTGTAGAAAAAAAAACTATTTTTCTAAAGAACTCGTAATTTCGCAGAAGCATACTTGAGTTTTGATTCGAACTTCATACTTCAGTAATGGGATCTTCCAGATGAATCACACGACAAATCTCCAATACACAAAATCACCGTCTCAAAAAGCTCAAGCCAGGTTTCGACATTTTAACCTGTCTACTTTCCAACCGATACAAAAACCGTTCCCGAGTCACATTCAGCTGCTTTAGCAATTTTTCCCCCGACTCGGCGTAATTATTCGGATTCAAGTCGTAATGCACCACAAGTTCCCCGGAAACGTCTCGACTCATCCCACTATTCAAAGCGGACACGCTTATCACAATGTCTGCAGCATGGGATAAAATCCCAAGAACCTTCTTGTGTCCATCCAAAGAGTTGGAAGACCTCAGCACAACGAGAAGCCCGCAATCGAAGCCGAAGCATGAGAACAGGAACTTCGTCAAAGTTTTGGGTTGTACGCCGACGTCGAGCAAGTTCGAGGCATGGTCCAACACAAGGACAACGCCATTGTTCACTTTTGCCTTTACCTCCTCCACTGCTTTCACGATTTCTTGCAACACTGAAATAAAAAAGGTTTTTGATGGAGAAAATTATTTCATGATAACCTACATATTATCAGAAGACCATACAGGTGGACTCTCTTTACAACGATCTTGTACACAATGATTTCCTCTGTAGAATATAAGGAATTTATTTTTGGACCATAGGGTAATCACCACATGTTGAATGAGTTCTCTAAAACGAAATTCTCTCAACAAAATTTTAAGCACCTTGAATTTTTCGTAGAGCCAACTGTTTATAATTTTTCGAGTGCAACATCGATAAAGTAAAGAAAAAGATTTTAATTAAACAATTTTTTCAAGAAAATTGTGGTCAAATCGATTAATTTTTAGATGACTTTGCTTGCTTTAAAACAAAGCCGTTGAAGTTTATATCCTCCAGTTCCCATTTGGTATTTGCTACTGTGGCTCAGGTAACCAACTCACAGCAGTTCAATAGAAGTCTAATTAAATTTTGAAGAGCGTCTAGGCGATGTAATTAATGCAGTGTATAGGAAATTTGTAACGTTTCAATTTCGGGCAAGTGGACGTGCGAAAAGAGAGCCAAATTCCTGTACAAAAAATCGAAGCCAACATCTCTAAAAAGAATTCGATTGTCTTCGTAGATTAGTTTCAAGAAAAACTGAGGAAAGCGTGATGATTTCAAACAAATTTGAAAAGTTAAGACAGCCGGAATGGAAACTTCTACTTACTGTCAACACAAACGTCTTCGTCGTGGTTCTTGACGCAGGATAAAGAGCAAAGCGCGTCGAAGAACACCAATTCGACACGAGACAAAGGACCCGACAGGTCCACACCGCATCGCGCAGCGACAGCAGCGTAATGCGCAAATGGCTCAGACCACGACACTAAAACGACGCCCAAGCCGCGTTTCAAACTGTATCCGACGACGTAGTTCACCAAGAAATCAGCACTACTTCCCAAGTCATCACTAGCGACCATCCTCGTCTTGTCTAACGCGATTTTGTCCAGTTGAAGACAAGTTGTGACATCTGGAAACATCTGCACAAAATATTATACACATCTTTGAAAGGAACTTCAAAATCATATTTCGGTTTTTTTTCTTATCTTCTCCACTTAATGCCCGAATAACTGCCGATTCAAATAAAATGCCTTCAGACATTTCATCATCATGAAGGAAACTTTTACTCAGATAATAAGCGCAACGAAAAATTGAATAGACTAAAAATTTTAAAGAATTGATAACTGATTTCGCAAAAGATGAATGCTCGACATCTTGAGAAAGCCGACACTTTAATATTCAAATTAATTATTTATTTATGAAATAATTCGGGCACTTAGTGAGGAACAAGCAAATGCACTGAGAACAATCAAACATTTTTCCAACGGTCCACACGATCCAGATTCATATCATACTTTCAAAGCGGAAAACACAAAACAAGTACCATCGAACAAAACGAACAGTATCTTCGCGGAGGAATAAATTTGGTATGTCTCAATTGTCAATCACAGGAGAAAAACACGAAGCACACAACGGAAAAATAACAGTAAAAAATCCAAGAAAAAAAACTGTCCCAGAACTGAAGCCCTCAGAGAGAATAAAACTTGAGAAAAACCCAAGAAATATTTTCTAGAATCCCAACAAGTCGTTCACAACCTTCGCGCCTTCCGACTGCTGGTCACAAAAGTCCAGAAGACCATCGGCTCCCAATAACTTGTCGCCAGACGCACCAACATCAACAGGATCGATTTCCGGACACAGCGAAACAGAAATTAAATCATCAGTTTTGGATGCAGATGCAGCATCTTTCTCGCAATCAATCAGGGCTTCGTCGTCGTCCTTCTCATCAGTATACTTGAAAAAAATAAAATAGAATGAGTAAGGTCAAACGCAGAAAACAAAATTAGTTGATGTTAAGTCTTACAGAAAAGTCTTCTCTCTTGTACTGAAAAGCAGATGCAGATAAATCCATTTCGATAGGAAACAACTTTTGCCCAGTCATAACGTCCTTACATGCGTGGTGATACTCCGAAAAAGCGGATAAAAGTCCTTTCATCTGAACATCAATAATTCGCAATTATGATCCAGAAATCCGTTTAATAAAAAATTTGACAACAAACCTGCGTAGTTATGTGCTGCTCGTGCTTTTGGTCCAAAAGATCAATTTTCACCACAACGTCGCCACGCAATGCAGCAAATGCCTTCCGGGCCTCTTGCCGACATCTCAGAATAAGCCTTGCAACAGCCATTTATTTTATTTAGTTTCAAGATCGCAGGAAAATAAATCGTCTTTCTTACCTGTATTCGTAGTTTCCGGTTTCCACTCTATACAGAGGTTCATTAAGAGATGCAAAAGTGTATTCTTCGTCATCCATTTCCTTTACTTTCAGGCAATACGAAAGGTACTCAAACTTCGCGTCAGCGTATTTCCTTATGGTCATTTTCGTGTCTGGAATGGCTTTCCGCAGGTAAGTGTCAAGCTGGTCCCAAACCTTTTCAGAACAACGTGTTACTACAAAAATAAAATTTGAAAACACTACACTCACCGGTCCAGCTCTCTGTAGAAAGGAGTACGCAGTTTTTTCCGTCAAACGGTGATATTCTCCAAACGTGGTGAAAACTTCACTAGCTCTTGGCTGAGGTTCGCGGACGCCAATACTCGAGAAAGCCTCGCCGAAGCCTGCAACAACCGAAAATAAACGTATTAAGTAAATGTACAGGAACAAAATTTCGGGCATTTTACTTCTCTGTGCCCTGGCGAAGTTACACATGGCTTTCATCAACTTCTGACAAAGTGCTGTCAGACCACGATAAAAATCTTCCATCTTCGACAAATGGTCCAGCTTCTTGATGAGAGAATCGTTACAGAGAATTGCTCTGCTAAGTCCGAGGGCATCTGCAGCACTCGTGCTCATATTTTCCACCATTTTGTGCTTGGCTTTCTTCAGAACTTAAATAAAGAATGACGACTGAGCAGGGCCTTCTACAACGTAATTTCCTTCAAAGTTTTACCGATATCCAAGGACTTCCCTTGCTTCGGATCTGCATGCAACTTGTTATATTTTATCATGACTTGATCCTACAACGAAAAATATACTGAAAATAAATGTCACGTTTCGAATTATGTAACACGACGTGAAATACCTTCTGACCCTGAATCAATTTAGCAACCTCGCCTTTGGTTTTGCCTTTCACGCAGTGATTTCCTACCCCGATAATTTCATCCCCTGCTTCCAACGTGCCATCTCGGGATGCAGGGCTATTATCGAATATCTGCAATTGATGAAAAAACGTCATGTTCATCCACCAAAATAAATTTGATAAATCGACGATAACACCTACTTGCACGACATACAAGCAAGGGCAATACGGTGCTCCTCCTCCGATGCTGATGCCGATCAGGTTGTCTTCCCCTTTCGCTAATGTTACGCTGCCAGTCGTAATTTTCATTCCCCTAAGAAACCACATAGGCAATTACGCGTTTGACCGAGAAATTATCAGCAACTTGTAGGCGACAAGCAATCGACAGAGCTGACTTACAATGTGTCATCATGCAACAAAAAGCGAGACTTCATTTTCGGCGTTCCTCCGTCGATTGAGTCATCGGGTAATTCTTCCAAATCCCTCCACAAGACATACATGACGTTGAGCAAGCAATGCACACGGAAAAAACTCAACGAACATTCTTGATACACAGAACAATTGAAAAAAGACAAGAAGCACGATAAGCAACGCGCACAAGCTACAGCTCAAGCAGAATTTTCAACAACATACATGCGATCTTCCAGTAGATATGGCTGACCCAAAATAAGGTCGTCGAACAGGCCAGTCATGGTGGATGTTGCTAAAGAAGGCGTGACACCAAACATAGATCTATCGCGTCCACAACGCACTAATAATTTGTTCAACTTAAAATGAATCTGGAAACAAATTCAAAACGTAAAAAAATACGATGAACTGATCGAACAAAAACGCCTGAGTTTACGAAGGAGTGGGAACAAGCTTCACTACTTAAAACTCAACTCACAGGCTGTCCTCCTCAGGCACATAATCTTCGTCGAACAGGTCCATGATGAATACTCAACTAAGTTTTTGTACTTCAATAGTACCACGTAGCGTAAATTCAATACACTCAGACACACTTCACTGCTACAATTAGATTTTCGCGCGGGGGACACCGCTTTCCCACACAGCTTCGTCTCTCCGACCAAGTGCCACTGAACTCACGTGTTTTTCTTCCACGCCACGCTTGCCAGTGCCACTTTCTCTCAGATCCACCAGCACCTTTTAGTGAGTGGCTTCAACTGTATGATTTAGGATTATATACAGTATACAGTATGGGTATATGAACTGTATACACTGTACTCTATATATATTCCAAGAAAGACTTCATGGGCCTTCTAGCGCGAAATAACAAGGCGCATTTTATGAAAAGATTAAATGAATTGGGTCAGGTTATTTTATGTCAGGTTTCAATCAATTAATATATTATCTTCGTATTCTTCGAATACCAATTTCAACATGATTCGTTCTTAATAACATTCGGCATTTGTGAAGCCACTCAATAATGGCCTTGGAAGAGGGAGTTGAAGAAAATAGCCCATAGCAGAGGAGCATTTAAGTGCACGGACTTAAAGCCAGGCTGCAAAGTGTGCCCTCCCCTCAAGCAAGACCCAGACATCCGTGGTACAGTACTGTACTCCAGGAAAATTACAAGCGCCATTATTTGTGCAAGCTTGATCCTCGGGATGCTGCTTCTTACATCAGAGCTCTAAATCTATACATGTGTTCCAGATGATTTTTCACATATGTTATTGGTGTTATGTTATTGGTGGTAGTGGTGAGATTGATCCAATAGAATGAGACGGAGGTCTCCTATCTGCAAAATACCTGAACAAAGCAATATAGAATTGAACATAGGACATGTTTGAAGAGTTCCAGATTTATAGACAGACCACCATAATATATTACAGTATTGCAAACCTAACTGTCTATTTAATGACGTCATATATCGTGCATAACTGTTGAACATACAAATACAATATTCTGTACTCTATTTTCACTTTCCGCATACAATACTGCACATGCAGAATTACATGCATCGTATTGTGGTGCGCTATATGGAAAGCAGCTTCAACCGCCGTATCATGCAGTGCTTTACATTCAATGAATAACAGATTCGAAACATTGACTCACTCGAACAAATAAAACATTCCATTCCTTAGTTCATTCCCTGTTCTGATGCACATTAAATACAGTAGAAATGCTTCAAAACAATAATCAGCATAAGGACCTAAACTGAACAGCAGTGAAAGGACGCCATACAGAACTTCTGTATGTGTTTACCTATATGAAAAGCTAACAGTACCAGCAGTCCATTTTCTAGAGCAAATTTTAGAATACACTAGTTTCAATAGCTTAATTGTCACACAGTCTGTTATAAAAGAAGTAACTGTTGTTGATGCATCATCATTGATATGCTGACCGCTAATCATCCTCCTAAGTCATGTACTGATGTACTGTACAGTACTTTGTTTACTCAGGAGTCAGGACTATAACAAGCAAACATACTATACCGGTCACTTATATACAGTGCTGTACAGCTGATCAAAAGACTGGATGAACATTTCGTAGATTTCACATAATTTATTCCACCCCGGCAAACACGTGGTTTCGCCAATTTTTTTCTGTGGTCAAAAGAATGCGACAGCTGTGCCTAAAAAAAACCGGAAGATTTCGGACACAATTGCGAACAGCAGAAGCAACAGAACAAATGGGAGACGAAATTCAAAAAATGGCAGAAAATTCGATCTTAAAAAAACGTCTCTTCTTCCATCCGAACACAAGAATTCCGTTCTTTTCCATTAGCTCATCATTTACGAACACCAGCGGCGAGGACTAATTCTTTTCTTTCCATCAATGCAGTATACGAACACAAAATGAACTAGCGGCATTTCCATAAATTGCACAGACACGAGTGACGAAATTTCGAAGTTCCCTCTCCAAGGCTTCACATGAAAATTTCCCAAAAAATGGTGACGAGATCTGGCGAATTACCACAACGAAGTTAAAAAAAAAAACAAGTGTATACTGACGACGATACGGTAGAAAGACAATAGCTTAAACGTTGAAGGTTCAAGATGAAGAGAAAGCAATTCGTCATATGTAATTCAAATTTCAGCACAGAGTGAATAGGAAAATTACAGCATATCGCAATCAATAGGGGAATGAAAAATCCGAAAATCAACGAAATGTAAATATTTTGTACTTCTCAGCTGTGTGAATCATTTTTGTGTGTGTGGATGAAATAGAGCTTCAAAATACAGAAGATACTGCACGTATTTAAAATCACGCCTTTAAAATATAGAAGTCTCTTCAATTGCTTGGATCAAAACGGACTTTTTTTATTGTTAACCTAATAGAGTTTTCTCCATGTTTCATATCTGTTTAAGGATGCATACAGAAGATTTACGTCAACGTCTAAACGCGAAAAAAGATACATCGTTCCTCAAATCTAATATACAGGCTGTGACACGCGCTACTTCAAGGCTCACAAAAGTTCTTTCAAGAACCCATTCTTCAGCCATAAAATTCTTCAAATAAAATAGTGGGAAATACTCTGGCACCATCAGAACAATCACAGGTGTTCGGCGTATGATCAGCAAGGAAATTCGTCCGGCCTTACATTAGGACTACAGGTCTATGGTTTAATTGGTGCCTGAGATATTCGAGAAAAATTACTGAATCAGGACAATAACAAGGGTTATCTTTGAGAATGAGAGAAACATAAGGGATCGATTCCGGCGTCCTGAGGAAAAATTAAAATACTATTGCTTCTTCTTTCTGTTTCGGTACATTATCAACAAAAACTAATTGCACCGGTATTTGAAATTAAATATGTTTCTCTTTACGCGCTGAACACTACTGTAGTTCATCACTGCTGGGATATTTTTCACACACGCAAATTTCATTTGTTCGTCATTTCTTGAAATACAGTCAAACACCTTCGAGTCTAACTTCGAATTGCCAGCAAAAAATTTTTGAGTTAGGATAACAAGCATTTTTGTTGGTGAAAGAAAGAAAAAATTACATGGGAAATTGTAATTGGTCATATTCTGGGCCTTAAAAAGCTTCTTGAATGAGTTGATGGATGCTGAATTTGGAGTCGAGGGTTTATATGCCCATTTAACCTTTCACTTCCTTTCAAAATGCATCAATTTGTGTTTTAATTATTTTTCTCTTTCCTGTGTCAATAAAATAATAATCAAAAAGCCTCCAGAAAATTCGACTTTTGGAGGTTTTCACAGGGGAAAAGCCTTTGTGTTGGGGAGGTTCTTAATGCATTATTTCAAAGGGAATTCAGACAAGGACTTTAAAAAAAATATTAAACAGGGAGGTTCGAGTTATCGATGTTGAACTGCATGGACTAGTTTTGTAGAACCCAGTAGCACGTGAGTCACCCTGCATACCACGCATAAAGCAATCGCTTCACCAGTATTGGCGCACCACACAGCAGGTGATTCACATATGGAGCATAAAAACGAATCACACGGCCACGCTGCGGTAAAAACATTTGTACACACATCATTCGAAGACACCCAAAGTAAAATCCTGAATCCACGAAAACAAAAAAACACCTTAGTTCGAACGTGCCGCCAACTGACTAGAAATTCAACGTAGTTAAATACTCGACTGAAATCGTCTTTCCCGTGACTCGATTCATGATTTTGCACACAGTTTCCGGGTCTTTCCCGTTGCTTAAGAGCCTAAGCGCCACTTTTTTCTCGTGCGAGGTCAATTCTTTCTTCTTCATGTACACGTCGTAGGCGTCTCGGGTCACCACGTGGTTCAAATGGTTCTGTTCCAGCTTGGCAATCACATACTTTTTCCACGTGGCATTGAACTTACAGTGAAGCATGGCGGGACAGGACTGGGCCGGATTTGTGTCGCCGCGCTTGCGTTTGATGGCCCCGCAAGAGTAGGTGATTTCATGCACAGGGAATTTGTCACCATGGCCTTGCAGCAAATGCCGACGAATCATCTTCATGCACGCAAACTTCTCAGCACAGTATCGCTGAAACGCAACCTGGAAAAATAAATTATGGTTCGTCACATTGAAAATGACAAAGTGAGTCAAATTACGGATTCCTCGGGATAACTAGCGCTGATAAACGAAAAAATGGAGAAAAATCACAGAAAATTTTAATTGGTGATATTCTTGGCCTAAAAATGCTTATTGAATGAGTCGACAGGATGCAAAACTTGGAGGCAAGGGTTTATTTGCCCAATTAATCCTTCATTTCAAAATGCATCATGTTATATCTTCATTGCGTTTCACTTTGCTGCGATAATAGAATGATAACCAAACGCCTCAGGAAAATTTAAGTTATGAGGGTTTGCGGGGGAAGGGAAGTTTTTTATGAATTGAAATTCAGACAGGGATTTGACGAAAATTGAAATAGTGAAGCATTTGACTTGGAAAGAGTCGAGCAACCGAAGTTCAACCGTAAATTGAATAAAAAAGAACGCGTCATTTAATCCGAGACTAAATTTTAAAAAAGGGATCACTTTAAGAAAAGAGAGATTTACGAGATTGTGCCAAATAAAATTTACGCGAACACTTAAATTTTGATCAAAATGTCATTAAATTTCAACAGCAAACGCAATTTCTATATAATATGCTGTAACGGAAAAGTCTTGCCTGGAAATCTTTGAAAGACTCGTAGCAGGCCCCCAACTCAATTTTGGCAACATTTGCGTTGCACTCGTCGTCGTTGCCCGTGGATTCCTCGTCACTAGTGTCTTCTACATCGTCCAGCTGTAGATCATCTTTGCCCAGGTCCTTGTCGGTATCTTTGGTGCCTTTCGACAGGCGAGGACTTCTTCTTTCAGTGGACTTTTTCCGCTTCAATTTCGCACCGGCAGTGTTCAATTCCCAGTCTTCGTCCGAATCGTCATTCTGCTCTTCCTCGGAATCACTGTCTTGTTCTTCTTCGTTATTCTCTTTCTTCTTCTCTTCACCGTCCACACGTTTCGGCTCGTCTCCTGTTCGGATTCAGAACAGCAGGCTTATCAGAAAAGAGTCGAGTGCAATACTGTACTGTATTCAACAGTTGCTTTAGTACGGGTAGATGTCATCGGCAGATGAAATTAAATTTCATTTTACAGTATGTAGGTAGTCTCTCTCTCTACAACAAAATTCAAGGTAACAGATAAAGAACAGTTATAGAGAGGATTCTGCAGAAGAAAACCCGTATAACGTGGGTAGAAAACCTTGCCGAATTAAAAAATAAAATCGTCGTACAGAGAACACTGTTTCAGAGAACGAGAGAGTCGATCTGGTAGTCGTTTACCGTGTCACATGGAAATTTCAACTCGATTGGACGCCTCCTTTTTGCGAAGCGAATTCAAACGTTAAGTCTATGCTCTCCGTCGAACAAATACATGATCATTCATCGATTTGATTTGATAAAAGTGGTTTGCTGCTCCATCGTGACGAACAAAAGTAAAGAATTCTATAAAATCCAAAATCACCACTATGCAAAAAATCATAAATTATAAACCAGGGCCTGAATAAGTTCTTTAAAAAGAAATTTTCGAAATCAAAGGAAAACTTACCATTAGCTTCAGCAGCCTCGGCTGCTTTCAGGGTCTTGATCTTAATTCGAATCGGCCGGCGTTTTCGGGAAAGGCGTCTCCGTTTAGGTCCACGTTTCCTCACAACTTTGGTCTCCTTATTCCCATCGTTCGACACCGGCGTGGATTCCTTGGGACTATTTTTCGTGGAATTCACGTCTTTACCCTTCCAGCCTCCTGGATCGGGATGATTCCAGGCCACCTAGAAAAATAAAATATTTACGCTTATGAGAAATTGAAATTTTTGAAAAAAAGGTAATACTGTAGATGGATGCACTGAAGTAACAAACGCAGAATGCACAGTTGAACCTTCATAACTTGATGCTCCCGAATCGGAATGCCTCATAACCTATACGTTGAATGTTTCCACGTCCAAGTTTAATGCCCTTAGATATAACGCATAAAAACCTCCCTATTCAAGAAGCAATTCAAGTCGAATTTTCTGGAGGCTTTGCGGCTCTTATTTTATTTACTCCAGAAAGAGAAAAAATAAATATAAATGTAATTTGAGACACATACAAGGGTGGATATACAGTATAAGAATATTTGGGGAAAGAAACCCTCGCCTCCAAGTTCAGCATCCTTTAACTAATATTCAAGAAGTAATCTAAGGCCAAGAATATCACCAATTAAAATTTCCTTTAATTCTTTATCCCCAACAAAAATGCTTTTGTCCTTGATTCAGATTTTTTCTCGCCCCTTTTTGAAGTTTGACTTGAAGAGGTTCGACTGTCTGTGTGTCTGCTAAGCTGAGCAGATTTTCAGAACTTCAACATACAGCAGTTAGGATAATTTCGTGAGATGAGAAAAACAGGAAATAACGGAGCTTTCTTTGTGTAGGATTCAAAATTAAACCAGAAATAAAATCCTAGCCGTTTTCAGTCGGAAACCAGCTGTTATTCTAAGGCAAGGTGTCCTTAATCGTACTTCGAGAATAACCGGCTGCGAAAAAATTCGCCAGCGAAACTCAATTCCTGCTTCTACTCATTCATACATATTTATATTGTACATAGATTTGTAGCGTATCCGTTTTATTTTTCCGCTAAAATGCAGCTTATTTCATCATCATCAAGTCCGGTTAAATACGGAACCCACTTTCGATCCGGTCTGTGACGAGTTCGGATGCACGATGAGCGCCGGGGGTTCGTCAGCTGGTTGCACTGGCGGCACAGCCGCCCTTTTCACAGGCACCACATTATTGTCCACCGCGTTATTGTCATCCTCGTCGTCATCAATGAGATCCTCTTCATCGTCCAGCGTCTCTTCCTTGATCATACAATCCAACATGGAGTCGATCGACAGCGGCTCGTCGTCGTCCTCTGCAGTGGGCTTCGTCGGTTTCGACGGCTGAATCGATAACGGCGACACCGTCAGCCTCGGCGGGGACGACAACAAAGACCTAGTTATCGTCACGGGTTTCGGGGTGATGGTGCGGGGTTGATCCGAGATCATGGTTGATTTGTTCACCACGGAAGGAAGCAGGATCCTTGTGGGGTTCTGCTGTTGACCAGAGATAGACGGCTGATGACCAGCACTGCTGTTATTGGTGTTGCGCACTGAGAGAACCCGTCCGCAAGAGCTCAGAATTTCTTGCAATGGACGGGAATTCGCGGTCACGCCGCTGGTCGACGTTGAGGTATTTGAGATTTTGCACAGACCCGGAGGTGGCGATCCTGATAAAGTTACCTGATGAAATAAACTCAGTTAGTTGACCATGAACGATGGCGAATTTTCAACACAATGAGGCATTCAAAAAAATTCATCATTCTACAATAATAAGTTGCACCTATGTGATGCGGTGCAAGGTAGGGAGACATAGAAGTCCCCTCATTTAGGGCATTTCTAGAGTTCATCTAGGCAATTTGAAGGCTAAACATGAGGGTCCAAAAATATATACTGTACATTCTTTTGAAAATCGATTAACTAGAGCCTCCAGATGTCAAATTTTTTTCAAGTCCATGACTGAATTCCCTTCAAAACAGCACGGCAAATTTAAAAACTTCCCTAACTCAAAAGCTTTCCCCCTCAAACCTCTATGATCCAAATTTTTGAGGCCTTTCCGCTATTTTTTTATCGACACATGAACTAGAAATAAAACTTGATGCATTTCGAAAGGAAGTAAAATACTAATTGGTCAAATGAATCTTGACCTCCGAGTTAAGCATGCTTTCATTTGAGACTCATTTGTCGCCGTTATCGACTCATTTGAGAAGCAATTTGAGATTTAGAAAATCATCTATTACAATTCCAGTAATTTTCCTTTCTTTCTCCCAATCAAAAATGCTTGTTCCCGGAACTCAAAATCTCTCCAAGTCGATTTTTTCTCAGGTTCCTTGAAGTTCGACTGTATAAAATTTTTTATATTGTATCTGAAAATCACAAAATCTCAACATTGATGTCCGAAATGTTTTGCTAGTTCCTAGAAGTTCGACTTGCAGAGATTTGACTTTAAAACAACAACTGGAATTTAATTAACTCAAAAACTCTTTTTTCTGCATGTTCGTACACTAAAAAAATTTACGAAAGAGGGACTGATGTTTAATGAAGATTGATGTTGACTCACTGTTGATTCAATGTCCAGCCGATTCGCCAAGCCGGGCACCATTTTGAGATTCGGTTTCACCCTGATCATTGGCACAGCCGGGTGCGATGCGCCAGGACTGACTGCAAGGGGATCCTTCGGTGGCAAACTGACAGTCTGACAACCCGCACTCGCAGAACTCGCAATTAAATTCGGCTTGGGTACCAGTTTAGGTGGCCCCGCCTGACCAGCACAAGGGATCCTCGAGATCGTGACGGAACTCGTTTCCGCCAGTGTTTCCCCGCCGTTGGGCCTATTCATCAGTTGCTGCTTGCTGCTGTTGCGGCTCATTTCGTCGGTGAAGTATTTGGTGAGCTTGGAGCCTTGAAATGTGCTGACGTGGTGCAAACCGGGTGGAGGAGGGCGCTTCAGGACACTGATGGTGGTGCCTGATGCAGCCAAGTTCTTGATCGGAGAAGGGATCGGGGAAGAGGATCCCGTGTGATCTGTCACAGTATTGGGCAGTAGTTGCCACCTTTTGGAAAGAGAAATCCCATGATCAAGCCAACCGAAATAAGAAAGGGGTTTCTCAGAATGACGACCCACGAATCGTCATTGCAGCTGGATGAAATAAAACTGACACTTCCTAGGAACTTATTCTTGCGTCAAGTTTTATTAAAATGTCTTCCGATATCAACAAGAAAAAAAATATAGTAGTGCTCGCAAATTATTTCCGAGAGAAAGACGGAAATTCCTCGTAAAGAATGGCGCGAAAGCTGATATTCTTGAAATTTTCCGGTAAAAAACATAAAATGTATAATATACTGTACATTGGGGATCATCTATGCATCGAATCTTAGAATTGCTATCGGGTGTCGATTTTTCTGAGTGTTCACTATAGAAAAAATTCTGTGAAACTTTCTGATACACGGTATTGACACAATTCCGCACACGCCGTATTGTCACAAGAATATAACAGCATAAAAAATCGGGAACTTCAATCAACATTAAAACAAATTTGATTCCTAAGTTTACCTGAAGCTGCCCAACAATTATAGTCGAACCTCACAAACGCGAACTACAAGGGACCAGAAAAATTCGAGTTAAGGAAACGAGCAATTTTTGACGCGGGAAAGAAAGGAAAATTCACAGGACATTGTTACAGATGATATTCTATGCCTTCGATTGCTTCCTCAATGAGTTGACAGGATGCTAAAATTGGAGGCAAGGATTTACCTGCCAATTACTCTTACACTTCCTTCCAACATAAATCTATTAGATTTTCTCTTTGCTGTGTCATTAAAATGATGGTCAGAATGGGTGCAGCAAATTTCGAGCTATGGAGCTTTGAGATGAAACCTTTGAGTTAGTGAGGTTTTTAATGCATTGCTTCGAAGGGAATTCAGACAGGGACTTCACAAATACTGCGTGCGACATAGAAGAGTATTGACTTACGGAAGTTCGAGCAATCGAGGTTCAATTACCACGAATAGAACTACTGCATGTAAATTTTGTATTCCAGCCACCGGCAGTATTCTTACTTGTGCACGTTGTAGCCGAGAGCCCTTCCAAGCTTAGAGACCTCCGCAGATTCCGTAGCACTGCCTAAGTAAGCACAGCCATTGTATAAGATGCTCAAAAGTTGCCTAACAACGCTTTTCGGCCAATCAGGTAAATGAATGACGACTCCGGCATTTCCTCCCAACGCACCAGGTGTCACTTCTTTCAGCAAATTCTGTCGGAACACGGAACAAAATTCATTCCAGCACACAGAAACAAACGAACACTGCAGTATTTCGTTTTCATCTTAAATTATGTAAATATGCTGCGCAAAAACGATGGAACCAGCAAAAAATGAATTTACATGATTGATGACGAGGAATTAAACCATTATTACCTTGATGAAGAACGAGTCCAGCGACAGCATGCAGGAATGTGCGAGCAGGAACCCGTCCCCACACACTAGGGACACGTCGCAGTATGACATCCTGGAGTCGAAAATGTCCCACCGATCCCCGAGCTCGGCCCACTGCATCCAATTCAACTTGAACAAATGGGTTCCATTCGATGCCTGGGAACTATTCGCCATTACTACAGGCGAAGCACCAGCGGGGACTCCAAGGTTGATCATGCGACGCGCCTATTTTTTATTTTTTTCGCGCGCGCTCTCGCCGGCGCGCAAAATTTTAACCGAAACTTCAGTTCTCGCCGAATTGCACACGCTATGATTCACACTGAATGAATAATCGAAGAGAATTGCGAATTATAAAACATAACTGCAAGATATGAGTCTTGCGACGCGTCTCATCGTCCAGTGCGAAAAATTAAGCTGATAGTCGTGAATTCTCTCAGAATTCCAACCCAAAATCTTTCCACAGTATAGAAATTGAAGAAAATATGCATCACTCAGAGCACGTTAATTTGAATTGCTCGAGCTCACCCTTCAAACCTAGCAATAATAACTCGCAGATTCGTCTGATTTCGGAAAAAAGGTTTCACACAAGTTGACCACTCTTTCAAAATTTTGCTGACGAGAGAACGTTGAGTTGCGAACGACGGAGAGCTAGAAAAAATTAAATGAAGTCAATGTCTGAGCATGCATTTGGTGACATTTTGCCATCATCTTCATTTCTTAAACTATAAACTTCTTAGTTTCCCCTCACTATTCAAGCTCTCATAAGTTCTCCTATTTTGTCAGACGAGGCAGCAGAAACAAGTTCTTCACCATTCAAATCAGAGCATACAAAATGCAAAATTCCAGTCAATGCCCGAAATTCTTTCATTCTAACATTATATGAATGGATCCTAACCAGAATACCGATCACAGTGGTGAACCCCACAAAAAAAAAGCTCTACCTTCAGCAGAGACCCCCAGTGATTCAGGGACATGAAACAGTCAAACGAAACAACGACAGAAGTGTAACAGGAAAGAGTCACACAAAAAAAAAAAAAAACACAGCTCAAAATAGTTTTTTCCATATCTCCCTGCTCGCACACACTATTCCCTCTCTCGGCGTCGTACGCATTCATCCTGCGTGCGCCGTTCTAAAATGAAGGGACAGGAGGTACTGTACGGCCTAGCATCACCACAAGCAGTGAGAGCTCCCAGCTCGGCAGATGCTTCCCTCGCCCACCTACCCTCCCTTGTTCGTCTGTCGGCTAGTTCATGTCTCTGTCTCTCTCTTTCTATGATGTCATGGTACCTGTCTTACGTTGGAGAGAGGACAGCGCATGTGGGGGTGCGGATCAATCCTACGAAGCAGGAGTCCGGTACGGTATTGGGTTTTTCCTGCGCCGGCTCCTTTTTTGTATGGCACGTGCGCCACGTACATAGTACTCACAGGAACAGGATTGCTTTTCTTTTTATCAAGGCAGTCATTGAGGATCGCGAACAAAATATATATAACTTCGTCTTCGGGCTAAAACTACAGTAGCCATTGAACCCCAATGTCCATGATTGTGGAAAAATGGCTATGTGCATTAAGGCTATTTAACAAAAAAAATAAGTACAGGGCAGCACGTACGAGGTCCCTTCATCTTTGAAAACACAGGCAATGTGAAATAAGGACACTAAAATCTCTGAAAAAATCTACCAGGACATGATGACGATGTCTCACGATATAGACCAGTGAAATTTCTAAAAAATTAAAAAAATTATTTTCAAAATTTTCGATAACATTTTAATTTAATTGAGTAATTTGAATTCAAGTTTTTAGGAATCAAAATTCAATCTATTCACAATGAAAAAAAAAAACAGTTTTGTGATCTTCCCCCAGCGTTTTTTTTTAATCTGTGCTCAGTACAGCAAGATTCGTGTTTTTTTCTTTGCTTTTAGGCTTCCTTTCCATGCCAGAAGTTTCATAAAATTTTTGTAGAATCTAAAGTTTTGCTAGACTTCACAGCAGGAATTTAAAAAGTTTATGCTTTTTTTTAAATTCATGAACCAATAAAAAACAAAACATTTTGTAGACTGTCTTGAATAAATTAGAAAAGTGGGTTTGACGAAAGGTTTCTCATGATGAAACAATTGTAATACAGTAATTCATTGCAGCAGGTGAAAATTTGTCTAATGTTATTAGGAGGAAACCTAACTTTATTTTTCCATCAGATAATTTCCACTGTCATTGTCTATCCAACAGTTCAGAAAAAATTAATGACTTCATTGCCACTTTAGTTGATACCTTACCCAGCAGAAAATTTCCCGCAGACCGGCGAAACACGGGTTGGGGAACACTAACTCACAAACCATGGGGCTTCACACATTTTCGGATCTAATAGACACGACACTGTCTCATCGAGTAATAAAACCGAACACTCTTCCGAAGAATTGACACAGTTGTTGGCTTCTCCGCAAAATAGTTAAGAATGGCGCCAGAATTCACAGCACATGACGCAGGAAAGCATCTGCGTATACGCGGCGGGTCTTGACCAGGCGGATGCTTCTGGCGCAGACGCGAAATCCCTCTCCGCCTCGAAGCTTATCCCTTATCAATTTGTCATTACATTTTACAAATACTGTACCGTATTACCATAGTACAGTATTTCGCAGTTAGATTTTAGAAAAATATGACAGACGTGTATAAGAGAAGAAACTCCGAAAATCAGGCGGAGAAACAAACCTTTTCAAGCTGACTGGGGAAACCTTACCTACGTCAATAACGAAGTGCTGCTTTTCCCGTAACGAAATTGGGCATAAGAAAAAACTCGTCCGCGAAAGGATTCGATTCATTCACATTCTTTCAATTCATGGAATGGTTGTCTGATCAACTCAAGGTACAGTATTTCCAAGCAAAATAAATGTTCGTCCAATAGCAAATAAATTGTTCTCAATGTATACCGAAGTGCTTAACGTTTTTTTTTGTTTTTTAATAAAAAGCCTGATTAATATAACCTGCTTAGGAGGAGTTGGTTCAAGAGAGATCACGAATATTTTCCTTCATCAAGGGAAAAACTTGTCAAGATCTTGAGTATCGTGTGTTTTTTTTTTAAGTTTAGTGCCTGACAGTCAAATTGTCCACATGGCTGAACCTCCAATTATTGGACCTCGACTGTATTTTTTTCTGCTTCCACAAGTTAGTGTGAGACTTAATCGCGTGGCAAAAACCGATGCGTCTCACACTGGGATGCACGCAACAGAAAGGAAGGAAAAGCGTGCTTGCCGTTACGGGCATGCGTCATTTTGTGGCCGCACTTCTCCTCTCGCTCTCCGACTACTGTACTGTATACCGTTTGTTCTCATTGCCACACACAAGGAATGGAATATAGTACAGTACAATACTGCACAACCCTTCATGTCCCTCCTTTTCCCTGCTCTCTTCTGTCTGACGTGCGGTATACAGTACCGGTAATTCGTCCTACGTCTATTCTCCGGGATAAATCGGTCAAGGTTAAGCTTGCAACACTTGCAGCAAGCAGCAAAGATCAGATCCCAATGTTTTGTCTTTATTAGAATACTGCACCAGGAGCACCTTTTTTCAAAATAGAGGAGGAAAAAAAAGAGGATGCGCATAGTAAGCGGGTATACAATTTTTCGATTCTTTTCAGTATCTGTCTTCGTAATACTTGATCCTCATAGAAATTTTACATTATTTTCAACAAAGAAATATTTTCAATGGAAAGTGCTTTCAAATTGAGTTTAATTCAAAGCAAAATTTTGGTTTTGATGCTTTTTAAATTTCAAAACTTTGCCTTTTTTAATCACTAAACAATTTAGGGTGCTTCATACTTGGGGATTTGGTTTTATCCGGATGTTGCGAAGTACTGCATGTAAACTATCTAACACAACACCATGGATTGTACTGATACGCAAGAACCAGAGCGACCAATCCGATTCCGACGAGAGAAGCGGACTGATCATTTGTGCCACCCAAGGCATAGTCAGAGAGAGACAGACAGACCGACACGGAATCCCACCCCAGTAGAACAGCCACAGCAGCAGAAGGCGCAGAAGCGGCAACGATGTGCTTGCCACCACCAACACGGCATAGACATGGAAACACACACACACACGCATTTACTGTACATAGAAAGCCCTACTGTACAGAAGTCCCTCGCGGGGAAACAGCGCAGCTGCCCCTCCCTGGAGTCAAACGGGTCCGGGCACTCGTGGTTTTCTGCGCCGACTCCTTCTGGCGCATGGCAGGTAGAGCTCGCGGTGTGTACCGCGGAAGCTGCACTAAAGCTTTAATAATTTGCAGGTAATGACGGAAGTAAAGGAGCTCGCATTTATCGCAAGCCGATCGAGCCCAATGCAGGCCACAGAAATAGTCTTCGTGCGAAGTACAGTCGTAGGCGAAGATGATGGAAGACTCTAAGCAACTCAAGTTGGAGGAACACATTGAAATGGTGGCGCGGACACACTTCCGCACAGTATTCTCTCCCCAAGAATCCGCTCATCGCAAAGCGGAGAAGCCCACTCAAATTACATATCGTATTATATTATGCAGGTGTCGCTGCCTGCTACGTCGTTTTCCTTCCTTACTGTGAGGAACTACCTTCATGTAACAAAGGACTGTGGAACATATTTTTCGCACGAAAAAATTTCTCATGACGAAATGACCATAATTGAGAGCGATTCGTAAAAAAATCCTGAGAATACTAACATGCCAAAAAAAGAAAAAAGTTCGTTTTCCAATTTTCGAAGAGATTTTCTTCTACCTGACGAAAATGAAAATTCATAAATTTGTTGAAAGAAAATCATACGTTTTCTTCATGTAATTCACCTACCTGCACACGAAAACTTCCTCAGAAATGGTTGAAGTTCGTCACGAAAATATAAAGGACATACTGTACTATACATCCTCCTCCACTCACAGTTAACAAAACTGCTGTCACTGCAGTATTGTAGACGAGATCACACGACACCATCATACCACAGAAGGCCCCGCACTGGATGCGTATGTAAACGTCAACTGAGGTGCCTTTTAAAAACGGTTCAGCGTACCACCAGCACCACACAGTTCACAACTCTCTCTCCTCCTCCCTGCACACAGCTTCCCACCGAAGGAAACAGAAGCATCACTATTCACTGCTCAGTCTCCCAAGAATTTGCAGACGCCCCCGGCTGCACCGCTTGTCAAGCCACTGATGCATATCCGGAAACGCGGCTGACCGTCAGGCATGCACCAGTCCAGGGCTACCAAGAGTACACCAGATACAGATAGGGAGAGAGAGAGACACAGACTAGGCAGAGAAAAAAAATAGTGGTGGTCTTCGGGGTGCGAATAGAAACACGAAGCGGTAAGTGCGCGCGCAGATACACCGACACAGAACACTGCTGGGAGCGACGACATCGTCACGAAACACCCAAGCTCAGAAAGGGAGTGGGAGGGACACACACGTCGGCGACGACGGCGATTCTTTGATCCGCACGTTCTCGTCATCGACGTCGTCGGTGAACCAGGAACAGGAGAGAAACTGTACGGAGAGAAAGAGGACAGAGTGACGCGAAAAAAAAAGGTAGAGCAAAACCAAAACCGCAGGGATTTGATTTCTGTTGTCATGCGCCACTGGAATCTCCCAGCAACGCAACGCGTATTTTTTTGGAAAGGTAATTTAAGAAAAATTTCAACTCTGTTTTACAACGCGTTCACAAGCACATGATCAACTTAATGGCATCACGCAAACGGACTATGAAGGCCAAAAACATATAAGCATTGCTGCATGATTATTCCCCCATTTGGTTAATCAGAATTGCTCAAGAAGCGCTTCATCATGATTCATGCGCACATCCATCAACAGTCACCCAAAGATAATACTACGGCATATTAACGAAGAGCTAACATTTCATTAGGAACCGATTAGGTGCCGGATGAGTTTTAGTTCCACGTTCGATTTTTGGAGGCGCTTTAAGGTTAGAATACTGCATTTCGATACCAAACGAATTTTCCCCCAAGTTTTGCAGGAAAAACTTCAATGGGGTCAGTTGTGTGACTACCAGAGGAACAGCTCGCCCACCTTGGGTGTACTGGGTACTGACTACTGAGAGTATTTTTCTCCGGCCATAGTCAAGTGACCGTACAGTTGAGTTGTCATGAGACTCATGTCTGCATGACAAATTTTGAAAGTAAAATATGGTCTGGGGTCATCATATGTTCAACAAGGATCAGCTAGTGTGATGTATTTGCAAAAACAAATTTCCGCGTAATTGAAGTAATCCCTTTACAATCATCTTGCCATTTAAGCCAAGGAGTAGATGTGAATCTTTCACGCGTCAACTTCAAGAGGGCATTTGAAATCAATGACCGATTTATGCTGATCATGAATGCCTACACTGCCTATTTACACGATTTGGGAACACCAAAATACGCCTACAAAATGTGGATTACTCTTTTGTAAACTTTGACATCTCTGATTGAAACGCAACTTATTGCAGGTCAAATAAAAGTCATTCCCATTGATACTGTACTGTATCTTAGGAAATAACCATGAGCATGACGGATTTCTCTAATTAACAATATCTCAACGGTGCAAGCGACATAAAACTGGGACCGACACTGAAACACTCCTTCCGAAATGGAACCCAGCCAAAAGACAGACAAAACAACCTCAGTGAAGAAGGTTGTCCCTGAACTTCACACAAAAATCGTCAAATAAGTCACAGAAGAAAACTCTGAATCCACACACTATCTGACGTGTAATTCAATTCACCACAGGATTTGCGTAAGTCCCAAATCATCAGAGCCTCTTCTAGACTGGCGTGCGCGTGTTTAAACTCACAGAGAAGAACAAAATAGTAATCACATCTTCCGCACAGAAGCCGGAACCTACGGAGAAGGAACTCCCACTTCGGCCCAACAGTTCAGCAAGGCATCTCTCCTGTTCCCCCCGTGCGGCGGATCGATCCGCACCCCGCCTGCGCTGTCGTCCCCGCGCAGCAAGACAGGTACCATGGCATTCCGCAGAGACCCGGGTTTGCGGATTCAACAGGGAGGGTAGGTGGGCGAGCGGGGAACATCTGCCGAGCTAAAAACTCACCAAAATCTACCTCCCCTCCCTCCCTCCAACAGCGCAGGCATGATGAACGCATACTGTTCAGGAAGAGAGAGAAAATGCGTGCGGGAGCAGCGATGTAAAAACTATTTTGAGCTGCTCCTAATTTTCATCCATTCACTCTCTCTCTTTTTTCTAAACTGTTTTGGGACCATGATTACACGGCGATTTCTGAAGGTATATTCATAGCTTCTCATTCCATACCTCTGCTTTTCTTCATTCTTAAACCACACCAAATCACCACACAGGGAGGAAATTGAAAGTACAGTAATTTATTGTACTGCACCTCGAATGCCCCCTTCCCTGCAACTGCAGTAGACGCTTCACTGTGAGTAATACATACCACGGGAAGAGAAGAACAGAATTTCTTCATTTTCCAACATCCCAGAACTAGTGATTTAAACACAGGAGAAAGTCCTGGCAAGATTATAGATCTTATTCTATCTATTCAAGGTTCACTACTTATTATTCCAGCAAGAATTTGAGCGGACGAATGTGAGTAGTATTTTTCATATTTTCAAAAATATTTTTTTCAGTTTTTTTCAAACAGTATTTGGACGGTTCGATCAAACACACTGTACAAGCAGAAAAAGGTCTGGAGTGGATATTTTAATCTGCATGGCTTTCTCTGTGGAAAGTCTGTTTTGACAAAACTTGAAGTTAACATCGCCATACGACATATATGCTATATCGGATTTATTTTCCGGCTTTCTTTTTCAAGAAAAATTGAGCTTGAATTGTTCTAAACTACCTAATGTGCCAAGAATTTCACTCACTCAGTGAGTGGCTATTTTAAAAGAAAACTTTCCAAATCCACCAATTCCCAGCATTACTTATTTCGCATTATATATATGCAGTATAACCAAATTTCATGCACTCAAAATTTTCTAAAAACAAAACGGCTTTAACAAAATTTAGAAACACTGATATCTAAAAAAATATATACAGTACTGTATACATTTCTCAAAATAAGCTTAAGCATGTACAGCGTTTAGAAACTGTTTCAATCATGATCCAAATAAGAAATACGTAAATCAGAATTCAGCAAGTGATTCCCGCCATGGGCAATCAACTGCTGATTTCCGAAGTGAACTCTGATTGCAGATTAATTGAATGAAAACTACACTACCGTATTCCGTGGGGAATGTGGCAGAGTATAAACCATCCAATTAATGCTCATGGCAAATTTCAAAGTGCACAAACCCATCATTAGAAATTTAGAAACACTTATATCACCATGCATCACCCACGGTAAATAAATGACTCACGCAGGGCAAACGCTGTTGCATCAGCTTCTGCTGGCTGAGGAATAAGTTCAAGGATTCACACAACTTCCACAGTGACGTCTACACTAGTGTGGATATAATGAAGCAAGTTGTCAATGTACAGTAGTTCAACCTGGCATTCTAACACAAACCGGGGCGCTTCAGCCTCTGCAAGAAATTAATCTCAACACTCTTCCAAAGAACACAGTCGTTGGCTTCTCCACAAGATGGGTAAGACTGGCGCCAGAATTCACAGCACATGACGCAGGAAAGCATCTGCGTATACGCGGCGGGTCTTGACCAGACGGACGCTTCTTGCGAAGGGCGCAGACGCGAAATCCCGGAACCTCTCTCCGCGCCCGGGACCCGCATGCCTCCCTTCGTCACCAGCACATCTCTCCCTGATTACACCGCCATTTGGGATGGAGAGGAGAAAAAAAAACTCGCAAGATGCGTGTACATGAAGGCCACCTGAAAACTACTGCAAATGAAAAGAAAAGGCTTGTCCCACTGACTATACTGAAACGAAAACAGAGCAACCGCCGAACGCAGATTATTCGGATTTTGTGAAGTGGCTCTTATTCGGATGCTTCGCTCCCGTTTACCAACGAAATATTGTAGCGGCCAGAGCTAATTCGTGCGCAAATAGAGTACAGTACTGTATCACGTTTAATTGAGCAAATAATTTTCAAGGAATCAACGATTCTTCACATTTAACATAGGCTAATTGTTATCCTCTGGTTCTCAAAATGCTGTTTGTTTGCCCAGCCTTGGAAACACATTTTAAACATTCGAAGTGATCTTATTGATGATTTACCTGCATGCTGCCGGCTCTTCTGAAAAATGGTCTCAGACGACTAAACGAGTGACTTTTCAGAAAAGACAGGCACATATTTTCTTTTGGAACGTTCATTGGTGCGAGCCACTCATTCATTGCCACGATTGCGTGTACCCACTACTCTGGAGTAGGTGCGGTGTGCGGTACTATACACGTCCTGCACATGGTATTTTCTGATTCTGCAGTTCAGTGTACAATAAGTATTGTACATCATGTGTGTGTGGCTCGATCGCGTGGCAAACTCGGGGTTAGAAGCGAAACGGATGCGTCTCTGCATGCATGGGTATTGCACTGACATGCACGCAACAATAAGGAAGAAAAGCGCGCTTGCCGTAACGGGCATGCGTCATTCGCGGCCGCGCTTCTTGTTCCTCATCCACTACACTGCTTGTCCTCATCACCAGCACACACACTCACACAGGATTAAAGTACTGTACTGTACCTCAGTAAAACCCTCTTTTTTTTTCTGTGACTATCTGTCCCTCCTTTTTACTCATATGTGTCTCTTTTTTGCGCGGTACGGTAGTTCGCCTTTTTTCTTCTCATCCGCGATAAATCGGTTGAGGCGAAATCCTGCATGCGAATATTTCCAACTATTGATACGTAGGCTTATTTCTCCTTCTGTTCCGAAGATAAAATTCCGAAGCTTCAGAATAACCACCTGCAAACAAAGGTTGGTCAGGCACGTCAATATTAGCTTTGCGCATTTCAAATTGAGTGAGTCACTAGAGTCAGTATAAAACGAACGTTGAATTCCGTGCTGAACAGATGAATCATGGCCTTCATACAGTATTTTCAAGGTGTGGCCGTATGAATAACATCCGCGATTTACGAACCACAAAAAAAGTTTCACATTTGAATTCAAGTTTGCTGAAGATAAGTGACTACAATGGACAATCGTTCTATCATCAACAAACAAGGTGATAATCTTTTTTTTTTAAGAAGAATCAGCGATCCACAATAACGTAGCACTGGCGTTATCACAGCATTATCATAGTTGGCAAGAGCCTCTCCTTTACACTGAAGATTGCCAAGCATGGCCATAACCACATACTGCACACAGAGCAAACAGAGAGAGTGAGACGTACACATGCAAACTGCGCCGAGACGCGCATCGCTCGACACAGCAATCAATTGCACCGCCATCCCCGTCAAAACCATCAGGCTGACCGAAACTCACGATGAGAAGCGCGCGGGACTCATCGTCATTGTTGCCATCTCTGAGACCTCGTCAGAAAGGGAGAGAGATGGAAACAGAAAACCCGACTCCTGCATGTGGAAACAGCAGAGGCAGCGAAGGAAGGGCGCAGAAGCGGCAACGAAATGTGCCGCACAAACACGGCGAGTAGACGTACTGTACTCTACACTGTGATTGCATACACACACACGCGGATACACGCATATACTGTACCGAACTGCAGTCCCTTGCAGGGAAACAGAGCAGGACTCCCTCCCTGGAGTCAAAAGGGTCCCGCACTCGGGTTTTCCTGCGCCGACTCCTTTTGGCGCATGGCACGTGCGCCAGGCCCGTGTGCTCAGCCCTGGACAGTGTTGCGGCTTTATGCATGCAATAACTGCCTCCATCAGGAACGCAATCGCAGAAATAATGGATGCATCTAAAATATGCTCATGGAGGCGACAAAAATATGGCTAAACACCGTACATTGTATTCAGGTCATAAAAAAAAACTAAAAATCAGATACCTAAGAAGCAGACTAACTTATGAGCATCAAACGATCATAGATCCTTGGAAGAATGAGATCTGGATAAGTTATGAAATGTAGTTCTTGTATTTTCATAAAACTCGTTTTCATAACTGAATAAATAAAACGACTGGAAGAAAAATTTGGTTGTAGAGATTCAATACGGTATTCCCGACAAAAAATGCATTATTACAGAGAAAATTCTCGTGGACAGTCCTTCGTGAAGGGAGTCCTCGTGTATGGACGTATTCTCTGTACAATGTACAGTATTTGTTTATAGATAATTTATTTTATAATCCTCTCATCATTAGATCTATAAAATTTGATGATCGTTGTCCCCGATTCATCACGTATAAGCAGTCATTTTCATTTTAAAAGAAGTATAATTGCGCAATTAATAATTACTCATCATTTCTTGCTAACAGAAAAAAATTAAAATGTGATGAAAAAATCGAAAAAGTTTCTCTCCGCGCTCATGTTATCAATATTGCCTCAAAAACATAGATTTTCGTACCTCTAAAACGCACAAATCATTTAACGATTCAAATGCATGAAAATACATCGTAGGATGATAAACCAAGCGAGTTAATCCCTCGTATTAAGCGGATTTTAAGTCAAATATGTTGAATAAATGAATGCATACTCTCAATAAATTTTCAAAACCTGAATCAATGGCTTTGCTTTTTCGTTTAAAAAAAAAAACTCATCATTTTATCTGGCATCGAAAACATGCAGAGAACTAAAATGTCTGCTGGAGGATTAGCATCATATATTATTGCCAATCATATTTTATCAAAAGAGATAATTGGATTCGTGTTTTCCGTACTACAGCATATTCTTGAAATCAATGTACATGCAGTTTTCGTTGCACATAAAAGAATCAATCAGCAAAAAATCCGCATGTTGGATCATCTCTGCACCTCGGTCGTGTGTCACGTATATATTTTTCTGAATGCTACACCCATTTTATCTTATCTTGTGCTTGTGTGGTATGTTATCTCATTTCCAAGCCGGTCGTTCCGCGAGTTTAGCATTGAACAACCACTTTTCCCAAGTGTTGAGGCGAAGGTGAACGCTTATAAAAGTGAACAGTGTTTTTTCAATGCAGTATACGTTAAAAGGGTTTCTTTTTTTTTATCAAGAATTGTTTATTTTTACTGATGGAACGTCACAAATTCGACAGGTTTTACGAGACTTATTCTTGATAGATGCCCGAGGCGGACGAATCGAAGCGAAAAAGCGGATCAAGTCGATGGAATAAAAATAACTTTCAACTCAAATACATTTTTTGAAAAATATGCGGAACTTAGGAATGATCCAAGACAATCTCGGATGTCGTCTCTTATTTGGTGAGTGAAATAGTGGAGAATGAATCTTCATTTTCACGCTATCTGTAAGAATGAAACTAAATCGGAATTCCTCGAATAATTGCCGGCTACCGTAAGTTTTCATTTGTCGGTATATATTTTTTCGGAATTAAAATAAAACGTGTGCAGCACCCGAAATGGCCTTTCTCACAGCCCCCAAGCTTCTCAACATCGACATGAATTTAGATTTGTCGAATTCCCCAGATAACAGCAGTTGCGCATCACAATAGCGCGATAAAATTTTGGTAATCTTGCTCTTGGAGATGGAAGTTTTTTTGTGTGTGTGAACAAATTGGTATGCGTTCCGATTTTCGTGCGAATGGTAAGTGACACACTCTAGTTGGAGACAAACTTACAAAAATGTATCAGGGATGATGAGCGAGGCTTTGTCCTTCTGATGTAGAATTGTATAGATAAAAAATGGGGCTGAACGACAATCAACAAACCTTTTTGTATTTGAACTTTTTGTACGCGGAATTTTAAAGCCACTTCTTCATACTCTAAGTAATGACTTTAAATTTTAAAAAAATATGGACTTGGAATTTATTTCTTGGGATTTTCGCCTCAATAACAGTGAGACAAATATGAACAATTAGACTTGGACACTTGAAATACTGAAAAATCAGACCCAATATACGGAAATCTTGACATACAGACACTTTAACATTTCTGGGAAAATTTAAAATTTTTATTTTATTTCTTAATTTGAACATCTCTCAAAAATTGAATTATTCATGTTCATAGTTTCATTTTACATAAAATGTGTGAAAAATTATTTTCAAATATAAGAAGCACAAGCAGATTTTAAATTGCAAAAATGTAATTCAGTGTAATGTACTTCAATTCAAAAATTGAATTATTCATGTTCATAGTTTCATTTTACATAAAATGTGTGAAAAATTATTTTCAAATATAAGAAGCACAAGCAGATTTTAAATTGCAAAAATGTAATTCAGTGTAATGTACTTCAAAATTTCCATAACTAATGAACCAATTTGAAAAAGGACAAATTCAAATAGAGTAACTTCAACTTGTACTTGTTTCATTTATATTGATGTGGCTGGTATGATATCATTGAAAATAATAGAAATTTAGCATGGAAAAAGTTCTCAAAGGTATGTACTGCTGATCATGCATAGTACTATATACAGTATTTACTCAAGTACCCTGTGCACCTTTTTCTCAAAATTGAGAGTATATGCATCATAGATGGCTTCTGTATACCTTTTTTAAAGTTGTAGAAGCTCAGGGTGAGCATTATATTTGATTCTAATGGAAATTTACTCAAGTAACCAGTGCACCTTTTTCTCAAAATTGAGAGTATATGCATCATATAGATGGCTACTGTATACCTTTTTTAAAGTTGTAGAAGCTCAGGGTGAGCATTATATTTGATTCTAATGGAAAATTTTGGACCAATCTTCATAGAAAAACTTGCTGCAATGGAAAGAACTGAAAATTATTTCCCATGAATTCAGGATCAAATTATGTCTAAATCCAATGCATTTTACTTGCAGGATTCAAACTTGTAATAAATGTTTTTTGACTGAAGTACCCTGGTGCACATCATACTCATGAGGGTGAGTATGGTACCCAATAAGTAAATATGCTGGTACACCTGCTATGCATGCTATGCTGTCAGGCCAGTAATGACAAAGAATTTGGAAAAGAAAGTAAATTGCGTTCAGCCTTTAATAGGCCGGATCCTCCAGAACGGAGTCCCTTAAAGATGCACTCATTTACTTCAGCAACCCACAGGCAACCGTAGAAGGAATAACTCTACAAAAGACTCTGACAAACACAACACACCACACGTCAATCAGACAAGACAATCCTCAGAGGAACCAAAGTAACCAACAGCTGTCAGGCAACACTCTCAGAGAAGTGAAGTCTTTGGAAGACTTTGCTGGGGTTTCCATTTTCCCAGATCCTTATTGCAATCACCCGGTTTGCCGCATTGTGGTAAACCAGGTGCCAATCCATTTCTGGGTCCGCAGGCTGCTGCTACGTGTGACGTATGCATGCCCAAGCAAGGATGCTACGCTTGGGTCACGCCGAGTGTACGTGACCCCACATATGCCACACACCCAATTTGTTTTGACAAAACTGAGGTTGTGGTCCTTGTATGAACACATATTACAAAAAAAAATCAACCAAAAAAATTACAGGGCCCTTTCATATATTCTTGGTGTTCAACTTTCACAATATCCATGTTCCTCATGGTACACACGTATGCTGACAGGGATGGCCACCATAATATCATGGGCTGGACTGATTGGCATTGCCCAGGCAGCAGCAGGGATCCGGTCCACTATCATAGAGCCCAGCGTCGTGAGAGCCGGACAACGAGTGAACTTCACATGCATCATGGAAGACAACATAGCCTTTGAAACGGGGGGCTGCGTGTGGTCCGGGCCCCGCCAACAGGTGGCGCCACGACTCGCGCCCTCCAGCTCGGGCATCGTGGCCGTGGGCTCCTCGTCTGACCGCGGCACGTGCAGCTTCTACATTGAGCAAGTGGATGAGCGACTGCATAATGGCGACTGGGCCTGCAATCCCATAATGGAGAAGAACGAGAACATACCGAGTGACGAGCTGGTCTGGCTCAATCTCACTGTGGCAGGTCAGCGCAATGAACAAACCTTCATCTTTTCACATATTTCTTCCCCTTCAAAAAAGAAAACAGCGCTTTTTAAAATCAGTGCCTTGTCCTGGATGACTATTTTATTTAGTTTTTCCTCTGATGGAATAATAATAGTTAGAAAATAAAAGGCAGGCACCTTGGAAATTTATTCCTATATGGCCCATGACCATGCATTCTTCAATTCGCATATTCAAAACAGCTTTAGTAAAAAAATGGAAATCTTCTTTCAATTAATTTTGAGTTAAATTTTGAAATACCTGATCCAGACAATGAAGAAAAAAATGAAATTAATACATTTAATGTTTTTAAACAGGATTCCCATAATTTTGTAGAGGTGGAAAATCTATGAATCTATTGACTTGAAACTCATAATGTAAAAAACTTGAACCTCCCTCTGTCAAATATCTCCCCAGGTATAATTTTTCCAAGTCCCTGTGTAAATTTCTTTAGAAAGAAGCATTAAAAAACATTCCTTTTAGCTACTTGAAGGCTTTTCCCTTGAAACTCAATAATTCTATTAGTTTTTGGTCTTTCAGAGGTCTTCTCTTTTATTTTTGTCATTCGTTTGTGCTTTGTTTAATGCTTTGAAATGATTGAATTGAGTTGGATAATCCATGGCTGGGGTTGGGATTTAGGTGGTGGGCCGGGTTTGTTGCTAATCAAAGCACTTGAAATATTCAGTTAGTTCGGTTTTAAAGTATCCGTAAGATTGTATCACTCCCTCTTCTTTTACAGTCAGTAAAATGGAAGAAGATGATATTCACCTCTCACATTGCACTTGGCCTCAGTGGAGCATTCGTTTTCTTCAAGAGCAGCATGAGTCGCATAGCATCGCAGTTTTTTGTTCATTCATTCATAGTTTCTGGAGACCTTTGGCTATCAATTTAATGACACAGGAAAGAGAAAAGCAAGAAAAATGTATCCTGATGTGTTTTGAAATGAAGTGGAAGACTAATTAGTAAAATGAACCCTTCCTTCCGAATTCAGATCCATACAACAAGCAATTTAATTATGGTCCAGAGTATCAGTAATTGAAACTTCCTGAAATTCTTCTTTCTTAATTCCAACAAAAAATGCTTGTTTCCCTTACTAAAAACCTGGCAAACTAAAATCTCTGGATGCTGTCAACTTGAAGTGCGACTTGATGAGTTTTGACTAAACAAGTACAGTAGTTCTCGTGATTTGACCAGAAAAAGAGATCCTTCCAATATTCTTCAAAAAGAGCTCCAAATTCCGCAACTTTAAAGCTGCGTAAGTCAACATTTTTATGAGTCATTTTGAATTTGAATCACAGAAATTCAAGTAGTGCAGGTTCACAGTTGAACAATCTATAAATCAGGATTTTTAAGTTCTCTCGCAGTCGACAGATATAAGACTTTGAAAAGTGTGTACTCAACTTTAGCAAATAGTACACGAAAATAAACCGTCACTTTGGTTTAGGGGGATCTGGGTGTTACGTGTACCTGAGTTACATGCCAATAACTGACACACGTTCCCAGATCACAGTAATTGAGGCCCAAGAACAGGAAGTTCGGAATTTCACCTGCGTGAGCCGAGCAACGAGGCCATGTCCGGCTTTTGAATGGTATTTCGGTAAGCTTTTCCCATTTACTTTTTACATCAACATTTTAAAATTCCAAAAATACCACAATATATTTGAACAACTTCGATTTACAGCTTCTGAGATACTGAACGTAAACCTCGGCTAGTACGTTCTGGTTCACTGAACCTGGTTCAACGAACTGCTGGGAGTTCCCCTGTTCTTCAACGGCGAGATACTGACAATGAGTTGGTATCAAAACGTTTACCTGCGCGGAATGAATTCCAACAAACTGCGATGCTATGCGACTCATGCTGCTCTTGAAGAAAACGAATGCTCCACTGAGGCCAAGTGCAATGTGAGAGGTGAATAACATCTTCTTCCATTTTATTGACTGTAAAAGAAGAGGGAATGTTTTTCAGATATCTTATCATGTAAAAATGGCTTGCATGAAGTATTTGTAAGAGCAAGAAGTCGTCTTTTTTTAAACCTATAATTTACATGACATTCAAAATAACTCACAGTTGGGAAAACACGAGAAAGAAAACCTTTTAGGCAAATACAATATACAGTAATACAAAGTTTAAGCTGTTCATTTGGCCAAAATAAAAAAAATAAATATGCGTGAATCTTTGTGAACATGCACATGTTTGTGGCATTCTCAAACATGGCAAAATATGTATGGTGCTTGAGAATAAGCTGTATACCTTTATATCAGTCATTTAAATATTTGGTACTTTTTGCTCCCAAAATTAAACTCATCATCTTATCTTAAAGCTGTCTGCATGAAGATGTGAAGAGTACTGTATACAACTTTCAAATAAGTAAAAAAAACATTATGGCCAACTTTGAAATTTATATAAGATTTTGTGTATTCACTCCTGCAAATTGAGTCCAAATGAGGAGAAGGAAAAAATTTTGAGAATAATCTGCCAGTACAGTACAGTTCAATGAGAATAACTCAAACCTGTCTGTGTCAAATCTTACCCAAGTCTGCAATAACTCCCTCAGAAAACAATACATTCCAAACCTCAATAACACCAATGCTTTCTTCCTCAAACCTACATAACTGAAATTTTCTGGATTCCCTTTGGTTACATATTTTTACACATAAAGGGAAAAGCAGTAAAATTGTAAATTGATGTCTTTTAAAAGTAAATGAAAGACTAAGATAGTGGTATAAAAAACTACAAGTTCAACATCCTGTCAACTCATTCAATAAACAAGTGAAAACCCAGGATCTCACCAATTACAATTTTCTGCAAATCTTCCTCATTTCCCCTCAACAAAATGCTTTTCTCCACAACTCAAAACCTCGCTAACTAATTTTTATTTTTATTTTTTTGCTGACTGGTCCCTCAAGGTTTAATTTCCAGAGGTTATAATATACTTAACTTGTATATGGTAGTGTATATGCAATACTGTAGTTCCTATGATATTGAGAAATTTGAAACGGTTCTCACGAAATTCCTGTTGAACATATTATTCGTATTTCAGGCTCTCCGAGAGTGCGTCAGTGCAACGACACCGTCACGGATTCCTTCTCAATCGTCGACTCGTTCATCTGCGATCAACAATCGTTCCTGTTCCACACCGGCAAAACCGCGAAGGTTTCCATATTGTTCTCCTCGCACCCTGAGCCAACAGAAGTGCGTTGGATCATCCCGCAATTGTCGCAGCCTCTCATAGGTGTCGCGTCCTCCAAGGGCTACTCGTCTACGTGGGGCAAAGCCGACATTGATGACCCGCTGGGTTACTGGGATCGTTCTGATCTGTACTGGGCTAACCTTAGCATCAAGGGATACTCAACGCGGAAAGAAGGGGATGGGTTTGCGTTAGAGGTGTCTAATGGGTTCGNATCCCTTGAAAAAAATATATAACGCACGATTTCAAGTGAGAGATTACAGAATCCGTGCATACCATGTCAAATTTTGAAGATGTATCGCTCTCAACGTAAAATTTTCAAAATCCCGAGTCTGAATTTCCTTTAGAAACCATGCATTAAATCTCCTTAACTCACAGGCTTTCTCCGTCCAACTCGAATTTTCTTGAGACCTTTTGTCTATTATTTTATTGATGCAGAAAAAAGAAAAGCGATGGAAATTAAATTAAATACATTTTGAAAATAAGTTAAAGGCTAATTTGACGAATGAGCCTTTGCCTCTATAAGTTCAGCATCCTTCCAACTCACTTATTAAAAAATAATCCAAGGCCTAAAATATCACCAATTAAAATTTCCTGCCAATCTGTTTTATTTTTCACAGCAAAAATGCCTGTTTTACTAACTTGAAACATTAAAAAAAATCTCTATTAAAAATGCTTTTGCTGTTCCATTGAAATCAGAATGAAAGAGGTGTTTGAGTGCAATCGAGTGTTATTTAAAAAAAGCGAAACTTTCAACATTTCGTTTGCACTACTTTTTAATTCGGAAACCAAAAAACTTGAATTCGTGCTGCCTGTAAAATCACTCAAAAAATTACTTCAACTCCAACTACGTCAAATTAAACGAAAAAAGAAAAATACAGTAATCTCAAATATACGAAATGAAATATCAAAATCATTTGGGACACTTGCCAAAAACAAAACAAAAAATATTTGGCAATAAAAATCATGGCTCCCGCTATTTCCCCCTGTACTCAAACAGCCGGTTTATCCGGAGGCGTCGTGGCAGCCGTCGTCCTCGCCTGCATCTCAGCTGTCGTCATTATCGTCGTGCTCGTCATCGCCAAAAGCAGGAACCTCTGGTGCTTCGGCCAAAAATTCGCACCCAATTCCAGCATGGCCGACTATTTGCGACACAGTTTCCGCAGCATGAGCTGGCAGCGGAGCAAACAGCGCTACGACGGCGTCGTCATCGACGACGAACCGGATGCGAAAGAGCACCTTGAGCCGGAAGGAAGTACTGGCAATGCCACGACGACGTCAGCATCGACATCAGCTGAAAGTGACGAGAAAAAAACGCAGAGGCCGACGCGTCCGCCTCCTCCTCCCCCTGACGACTTGTCGTCACTGGAAGAAGGTGTCGTGTGATCGAGTCGACGGGCAACAAAAAGAAAAAAAGTGTCGAGATGGAAATGAGTGTGTGTGTGTGTGTGTGTGTGTGTGTAAACCTTGAAACAATTGAAAGATTCTACAGGGAAGCTTTGTTTGTAAAATACTGTACCTTCGTTTATTTTAAGTTTGAGCCATAAAAAAAATCGCTTTTACAAATTTCAATGTTTCTGCTTCACTCCGTTTTGTTCAAAGAAAACTTTGCGGTTTCATACAAACAAAATTCGGAGCCTTTTTCCTAAAACTGACACCACTATAATGCTTGGGATTTCAGCTGGAAAGAATCAATGAAAATATCAGCATTATTCCGAAATTACTAAAGAATGCAAGCAAAAAAAAATATCATCGTCAGGAATATTATCTGACAATAAACTAACTATGCATAAGTTAACCAAGAAAACGCGACTCATCTACGAAGTTTCGTAAAAAACATTCACTACATTTACAGAAGCAAGAGAATCTTAAAATAAAAGAAATAAAACTAAAAACTGCCAAAATTTCATTAGCGGAGTATCTACAGTAAAACTTTAAACTATACTTCATATTTTAGAAACAACTCAATGAATGAAACATATTCCGGGAAATTTCTGCAACTTTTGTTAATATAGATTTTAGGGTGAGACCGGAAAACACCAATACAAGTTTTAATTTTTTGTTTCTTGGAATCGTCACCCTAGTAAAAAGTAAGGAAGGATGCTGTGCAGAAAAAAAGACGAATTGGAGAAAGTTTCATGCTTTTTGACGAGGAGAAAAATGATTATAATAATTTATGCGTAAGCGTGATCCATTCAAATAATAAAAAAATAGTTTTTGTTCTGTCAATCTTTTATTGTTGGAAGTTAATGTCCTCAAAAAACAACATTTTCTCAACATTTCAAGGTTCACGAATATTTCGCCTATATTAATCCACACACAGAAACTAAGGAAATATTTTTTTTATGGATTCCACATCAGGTTAGTATAATCCAGGAACAGACATGTTTTTCACTTCTTGAATAATGGAAAGATGACCGGAAAACCACATGTCGTACGGATTGGAAACTTTGAAATGTCATCCTGAACAACCGTCATCACAGGATTTAAAGGCTTATTGATGAAAATAGGAATGTCGTCTTGTTGGGTGATTTCGATTTTGCAACAGCCTTCGAACTTGTCGGGCTTGCTGCTGAAGATACTCCAGACTGGACCATTCATCCTGATGTCTAATTATTTTTTATCTGTTTCTGCGAAGGACATGAAATGAATGTCAAATTTTTAAAGATACACCCATTCCGGAAAAAAATATGTTAAAGTCTACTTACGATTTAGTTCGAAGTTGAGAGTTCAGAATTTTTTCTTAGAGGTTTCAAGACTTGATCCGTGAGGTATATGTCGACTTCAGTTCGAAACCAGGGTTATATCCGGTTTTCTGATGAAACCTCCGCGTCAAATTTCACTCGTATTTTCGTCATGCAGGGTTGAATTACGTTTGTTTTTTGCTTCAGCTTAACTTGAAATATTTCAGCGAGTCATCCCTTCCGTGGAATGAGTTGAGTGATTCATGGCACTTCCCTAAAAACAATTAACAGTTCTGTATACTAGTTTCAATCACGCAAGTTCCACAAAAAAGGCGTCATTTGAAAAGGTCAGACAGGATCCTCGAAAGCGTGTTTTTTAATGCATTAAGTAGAAAAAGGACGAAGAGAATAAAATGGATAACCGAACAAAACCTCACGTATTTTTTAGAAAATTTAAAAGTACTGCTGTATCCAATACGACGATCGTCAAAGCAATCAATTGAGTATCTTAAATAATAATAATTGGCGATAATATTCTAAACTTGTGGAACATTTTTTCAGGCGAAAAAAACATTTCCGCACCTTCCACGTGAGTGAAACATTTTTTTATGATACTCGTAATTTACAGAAAAATAATAATTTTGAACTTCATTAAAATTTTTAATTTCGGTTATACATGCACAATCTTTTACATTTCATCACTGTATGTTCTAGTCATTCATCGTTTAGTGCCATTTTTCACGGATAAACCGTCTATTATTCAGTTGCTAATACTTTTTTTTGCATTCCAGATTATTGGCGAAGGAATTTATTTTGAAAAAAGGACTTTTGATATCACACATATTATTGGAAAGGATTGATCGATAATAATTGCAAAATCTTTATTTCGGTTTGAAACCATGAGCAAATTTTCAACTCGAAACGGGATGCTTCCATGAATTAATAATGACTTTGATCATCTTGATACGAGGGGGTTACACGGTTCCGCGCGGATCAGCTTGTTATAATTGCTGCCATTTATTGCGGAAGCTTCAAAATTTAACAATAAACTGGACATTTTCGAAGCCTGTAGTTTCAACACATGGATCCAAATGGCTGATATGTGTGTAAAAATTTGTGGTGATCACATTGCGAAGGTGTCCGCCTATAGTCTCTTGAAACTAATTAAGACGAGAAAAATGTTTCCAAAAATCCTTGGTGTTCAGAATCATTTACCACCGTTTCCGCGCGGAAACGTGTAACTCGTCGTTGAGACCGTTTAGTGTATGCAGTAATGATGCAATTTCAGTGCGAAGTGACACAGTTGAGGCCATTTGACACTCACATTACATCAGAAGAGTGAATAAAACCCCAACGTCGGGTCACATACAGCAGTCGACACACGAGTATATCCAGCAATTTCTTCAGTGGAAAAATAAGTGTGAAAAATATAACGACTTAAATCGTGAGTGTATATGTATTTTTTAAAGCAGCATTTTTAATTATTTTTAGTAAATCTATTTCATGATCTTCTCTCGTATATGTCGCTGATTTCTTGCAGGAAAACGTTTCAAAATGAACAATTCACGAAACGTGACCAAGGACGTGGTACAAGGTGGATGTTTCCCACAACCAATATTACATCCTTCAAATCCGCTTTCGCCATCAGTGGGAACTATCATTGATTGCTCTCCATTTCCAAGACCTGGGCCATGGGATCCATTTCCATTTCCAAGACCTGGGCCAGTAAGGGATCCGTGTCCATTTCCAAGACCGGGACCAATTGATCCTTTTTTCAACAAGAAGTGAAAAATGCCGAGCCAAATGCAGAAGTGGGACTTGAATGATGGACAGATGGAATTTGACTTGATGAGAACATTCTTCCGCCATCAGCATCATATATGCTATGACTTTCTTTTCAACGCTCGCCGAATCTCTATTATGGGAATAAATAAAACAAAATCTGAAAAACTCAATCCTCATCACAATAACACGCGAATTTTTATTTGAAATTCAACCATGCTTTCAACATACTGTTTTTCAGGACTGATTTCAAGCGATTAAATGCCAGCATTTTTTTTTTTTAATTCTGTATTATTTTGTTTTTACTTGCCTCTTCGTATATCGATGCTCTTCTGGAACAACTAAAACCTGATCCTTCCTTCAAAATAAGGGAAGAAAATACAGTGGTGCTCAGAAATGTGGACATAACTGGTGTTTTTGAATCTTATCCACAAGTTGGAGTGTCTGTGCGTTGGATCACATTTTAGTAAACAGTACTCTACAGTGAGACCCCCACATGCGGACAATTCG